GAGCAATGTTTGAACACCTGTTGTGGGTAGGGCACGAACCTGCAGGTGCTAGGAACACAGTGGTAACTAAGACAGGGCCCAGAACAGAGCAAACGTCCTCATCAGCTGGGTGGGGATGGGGCAGAAGACGACTTCTTGAGCTGAGGACTAAGGTCTCAAAGAGGCTTACTTTCAGCAAGAGTGGGGAGGATGTGTTCCAGGGAGCAAGCTCTCCCCAGGCCCTGGTGCAGCTCTGTGCTGGGAGGAGGGGGCTGACATGGCCTGCACGGAGTCCCCCAGGGCCTCGGGCCACAGTGAGCAATCATTTCTAAGTGAGCTATCACCAGGACTTAATAACTACTCGGCCAGTCCCTGGTCTGAGAGAATCGAAGATTTGGAAGGCATTGTTTTACCAGTCTGCCTCCCCAGCTGCCACCTACTTTTAAGAAGCAGGATTATGTCAATCATCTATCAGAAAACGTACAGTGTGTAGCATTCTTCCCCCAGCAGCGGGGAGAGGCTGCCCTCTGCCCTTTGTTCAGAGTACTTTCTCTGTGCCTAATGCTCCCAAAGCTGGGGAAAGAAGCAACGTTTCTAGATTTGGCAGAATCCAGTTGCTGGAGGCTACATTGCTCTGTCTCTAGCCGGACGCTTTGAGCGTGCTTTGTGGGGTTGGCTCCGGGAAGGATTGATGAAGTATTTATTGTTGGCTCTAAATAAACCTCCATTCTCTTGACCAGGATCTGGTACTTCTCTGCTGAGCAAATCCTCCCAGCTTAAATCTCCCAGCAGCTTATCCCACGTCATGGAGCCATATTGTTTCTACTTCCTTCCTCTGCTCCAGTCATAGTTTCTGAGTGGCTGAACTTTTTTGTATTCTCTGCAGGGGGAACCACATTCCAGGTTCTGCAGTCCCTGAGAACGAGGCCCCTGTTGTGGCTGCTGCATTCTTACAGGTCTCGGACACAACTGATTAAGGAACCAGAATTGGGCAGGTTCAGATCACTGTTTGTCAGGGCCATCCCCTGGCCTGCCACTGCCACTTCGTGCCCTGCCGCCCTGGTTGCTGAGGCTTTAGGCTCAGGGGGAGCCTGGGGAGGTTAGAGGAGTGCCGACAGCCAGGAGGGGAGGCCTTGCTTCAGAGTTTGTGTCTTTGACCAGCTCAGCACTCCCTCTCCTGCCTTTCCCGTGTTGTCACTTGGCGTCTTCAGAAGCTGTGCATTTGTTTTGTTTTTCTTTGTGTCTTAAGTAGACTTGAACTAGACAGCTGAAGTGGTTTACCTAGTCTTTCCTTCTCGGAGCTGCTAAGTGAGATGCTTTGTTTACACCTTCCCAGTGAACTGGCGGGGGAAGCCCTCGGCCTACTGCATCTGAGGGCCATGCATCCAGTCTGTCCCAGTCTCTGGGTTGTGGGTTCCGTGCCTCCCGGCTGACTCAGACACCTGTCTGGTACATAGATCTCCTGGCTGAGTTCATGACTTTGACCAACTGAGAATATCCCCCTGGAGGCCAAGAGGATGGATTCATACAAGTCAAGACAGGGACCCCCTGCGCATTTTAATACACCACCTTGGGAGAAGAAAAGGAACAGTGGTTTCTTGTTGCTTTTTACTTGTATCCTCCTAACTGCTGCCTTCCAGCCTCCTTAAGGGCACAAAGAGAACCTATGGAGGGTTTATAACCGTTGTGTTGAACGACTGGGAGTTTAATAATGTGAATCTTCCGTTTCTCTCCTCAGCTGTGTCATATTAAATACTTATCAGATGTTTTTTATGGCTGCCTTCCAAAATAACTATCATGGATGATTCGTTCATTTTGTACTGAATTCCTGGTATCTGAGGCATGACTGGTAGGAGGGTGTCTCTCTAGGTCTTCGTCTTGAGTGTGGACCACCTCCGCCCCCAGGAGTGTCTTCCTCTGAGGCTGCTTTTATTGGATGAAATTTACCTTGCTGGACAGTTGAGGGTAAATGGTCCCAAAAAGCATCTTTGGGGTATTTGACAGCCATCCTCTGTGATCTCAGCAGACCCCTCCCCCCAACTCTCCTTCCTGGCTGATGGTTCTTCAGCATTGTTTGAAGTCCTGGGCTCATCCGCCTTTGAAGAACACTTGATGTTTGGCTCCAGGCCCTTTGGTGTGGGGTATAACTGAGCGTCCTTGTGGTCAGGGCAGGATGTAGGGTTAAACTGCTTTTGGATCCAAAAGAACCTGGCTTGTTGGCCGCCTTTGGGAGTATTCTGACCAGGAGCTCAGCAGGCTCACAGGCCAGCTTATTCACATCGGAGGACAGAAGAAGTATATTCTAAAACCTAACAAGATGTGGCCACCAGGAGCACAGATTCCCATTGTTTCATTGTCGGGGCCTAGGTGTCCCATGGGTGGCTGTGACAGGGAGGAGAGTTCTGAACAACCACAGATTCCAAAGTCTTTCCAGGAGAACTTTGTGCACAACTATATGGCTCCCAGTCCATGGTGGCTCATTTATATTTTCAGTTTATAGGATTCTCTTAAGGCAAAGGAATCTTCTTGCACTTCTAGTTGGGTCCATGGTTCATAGGTTGGCACTTTGCTTGGAGGGATCACGGAGCTAAAGTCCTCTGCAGGGGAGGGGGTGTTCCTGGGGATGTTGAGTTTGGGTTTGAGTAGGAGGAGTCCATGACTCCATGGGGCTCCAGGTACACCCTGGACATGCCCCACCCATGTATGTGCATTGGTGCACACACGCGTTGCTAGAAGAATAAAAAAGCAAAGAGTAGACCAGTTGACAAGTTGAAACCGCCTGTCAACTTTATCACTTTTTGTATTTGTGCAGAAAGATTAATTTGAAAGAATGAGTAACCAAGCCAAAAAAGGAGAGACTGAAAGAAGGGGGAACACCTTCCTGTTGGTGATTTTGCCCCAACATTGCTGTTTTCCCTGAGATGTGACTGACCATCCTTAGCTAAGCCAGGCGAGGACCTTGTGAAATTCAGGAATCCCTGCCCCTCCTACCCCGACCCCTCCCATCGCTGGGGGCACCCCAGGGTGGCTCACAGCCCTTAGCCCTGCCCAAGGAGCCCTCGGGTGAACAAGTATCTTCCCTTTAGAAGAGACACTGTGTTTGGTGACTAACTTCCTGTGCCTCTGGAGTAGTAGACCCGGTGGAATTCCACATGGCTGTCTTGCCTTCTTCCTCGGGCCAGCTGAGGGCCTGGTGCCCTCCAGTGCTTTGGGAAGGAGCCCCCAGGGGGCCTTTGAATGGTTCACGGTCAGTCCTTGGAATACTCGCCAACTGGTCCGGGGAGGGGAGGTAGGATGTACCTAACTGATGTTTTCCCACAGTTAGCACCCAGAAAGCTGTCCCCTACAGGGAAAATTTAAGGACCTTTTACAGGCCCAGGTTTTGTTGCTGCCATGCTCTTTAACACTGGTTCCTCGGGAGTCACTGCTACAAAGAGATTGTTGTGGAGCCTCTGGAGACGGGCACTCTCTGTAGAGCAGCTGATTGATGACCAACCTGAATTTGGCATGGCAGTCCTCCAGGCACGCCTCCCAACCCCTCTGTTCCCTAGCACAGGCCTGCCTCCTCTTTGCCCACCTGATTGGCAGGGGGCAGTGGCCGGGGGAGACAGGTTGCTAAGCAGCCTGGCCTGGACGTTAGGCCTGTTGAGGTCGAATGAATAGCTGCAGTGTTCAGAAGGGTGAGGGGTTTGGGCCTGTCCCAGAATCAGGAGGGACTTTTTGGGGAAGGGGGTTAAGAACTACCACTCTGCTCTTGGCAGGGAGCCATAGCAAGGGCGGGCTTTTGGTGGCCTCCTGGCACCTTCCTTTCTGAAGCATCACTTGGTGTAACATTTCTTCAGTAAGTGGAGTATGCAGGACTCTGCAGCTGTGGCCGTGTGCCCATTTTGTTCAGAGTTGTTACTGTCTTGTCTCCTCCCCCCGCACCACCACAGGGAAAAGAAAGGAGATCCAATAGCTACCTGTGAGCCCAGCTTCTGCCACTTTGATCCTTAGCACGTGGTGGCACTTGAGAGCCCTGATCAGACTGTGTATGAGGGGCCAGGTTTCCCCCGAGATGGGGAAGACAGGTGTGTTGCTGCCAGTGGACATTTGGGACAGTGCAAGCAAGGGAAGGCCTTCCCACCCCACCCCACCCCACCCCACCTCCTGTGCCCAGGCTTTGTGACGGGGGCTGGGACCGTAGCCTTCTCCAGGTGGATTTGGTTTGGATTTGGATGAAGCGCTTACCCTGAGCGGTGAAATAAACAGCGAGTCCAGAAAACCATCTTATAAGAAACGTTTGCTCTTAGGTTTCTGCACTCGACCAGCCCTGAAGGACCTGCAGAAGTAGGTGTTGTAGGGCGGAAGTTTGCGCAAAGGATCAGAGAAAGCTTTTTCTTTGGAGAGAGATAAAGCCAATGTAAAGAGTCGAGAGGTGAGCCCAGGAGAGAAGCCGCCACCGTGCCAGGGCCTTTCTGGGGCCTGGGGCAGTCACTTATTAAAGGCCCAGTACATGCCCGCTCCAGGGTTCCATGAGCTACCGCCTGATGATAAAAGTCTCCCTTTTCTGCTTAAACTGAAAGTGAGAACAATCTCTTGGGAGCAGATAGTCTTTTGTGCTGTAGTCTTGGGATTCTCAGGTTATAAAGTTGCCATCTCTTGCTTCCTCAGTACCAGGTAGGGGTGACATTGTCGGGGCTGACCAGGCCCCAGGGGAGACGGTGGGCAGAGTCCAGGTGTCCAGGTGACGGATGGCTGGCGTTTGCTCTCCTTGGCATTGGCGGATATTGGTCCCTGCTGGAGGCTGTGGAGGAGAGACGGAAGCAGGCATGTGGAGCATCTTGGCTGCTCTGATGATAGAGGGGGCTTAGGAGGTTCAGGGGTCCCAGAAGGCCCCCAAAGCACCGACTCGCTCTTAGATTCCTTGTGTTGCTTGCACCTTTTCTCCTCCCTCAAGATCCCAAGTGGTTTCAGTGAAGAGAGGAGCTGCGGGTCAGGAGTCCCGGGCTTACTTCCTTGTGTCTGTTTCTCTTTTGCAGGATAACCCAGAAGTAGAAAAGCGAGATCCTCAGGAATTAGTTGGTAAGTACCCCAGGGGGAGTCTCAGGGGCAGATGTCTGAGGCTTGCCCAGAGTGAACTGGCTTCCCGCCATGCCTGGGCCTGCCACTGCATGGGGCTTCTCTCTGCTTCAGCCAAGACCGCTGTTCTCCTGAGAGCCTTCTCTTCATGTGCTCTCTCGGGGGCCTTTGGCATTTCCTAAGATGTCTGAGTAAGACACCCAGGGAACAATTCTTCTTTGAAAGTCATATTCATGGTGCATTTCATTGGGCTTTGGTCGGTTGCCAGTGTTGTCAGGACGGATTTAGGGCCTCCTTCAGCTGGGAGAGCGTTCCCCTTGTGCCCTAGGCCTGTCCTCTGTCCTTGTACGCCGCCACCCCGCTTTGCTGGCATATTCGGGTACTCACTGAGCAAATGTGGCCTCTGCTGGCACTTCGCTCTGTCCCCAGGAGAGAACATGCCTCATAGCCCCAGAGTCTAGGACCCTATGTGACTTGGGAGGGCAGGGCAGTTATGTTTCTGAAAAATGGCACACATGTCATCCCAGTTCTGTGCTAACCCCAGCCTCCTAATCCTTTTTAGAAAGCCCCTCAACTCTGTCAGTTTGGTTGTGGACTTTGTAACAGCTCTTCCAAAGCCTGCCCTAACCTCATGGACAGGGTGACCCTCGCTCTCTGTGATGGCTGTGACCATCTTTCCCTGCCTGCTCCGTTAACCTTCACAAAGCATGGGTCCTGCTTACCCGGGGCTGCTGCAAATGCGGCCTACAGAAGCTACTCCTGCGCGTCCAGATGGAGTCTTTGTGGCTTGCAGCCCCTTGGATCTGTCCTGTTTTTGGACAAGATCCTTTCATGAGGTATGGGAGGTGGGGACCCGTTCTGGTTTTCCTAACTAAAAGAACTAAAATTTGTTCCATTACATTTGTTTTCTGAGGAAGGCTTGGGTAGGAACGTACCACGGTGACCAGCCCAGACCCTCAGCGGGATTCTGCCTTTATCCCTGAGTGTAGGTCTTTCAAATCCTATAAAAACCAGAATTTTCCTAGACCTTAGTGTTCACTCCTTAGAAAATAGCCCTCAGGGGACGCACCCGTTGGCTTTGCAGACAGAGGAAGCCAAGCGTGGCCTCCTGCGAGTGGGTAATCCATAGGGGCAGGTATGGACCGGAGCCTCAGTCTCCTGTTCCCTCCCCGCCTCACCAGTCCCTGCTGTATACTCCCAAGAAACTGGGGGTAGGGGTGGGGTTGTGGGGTCCGAAAACAGCCTGCCTGGGAGCCCAATGCTCTGCTTGAGACCGTGGTGTCTGGCAAGCAGTGGGGTGGGGGGCACATCAGCCATCTCCACCCCGACTTCTTCCTCCCCCAACTTCCACCTGTTCTCTCCTTGCCACTTTGTGCCATCTGATGAGCTTTGGCAGATACATATAGTCAGTGTTAACCCCCATCACAATCACAGTATAAAACACTGCTGTCACTCCAGGGGCGCCGGCCGGCTCGGTTGGTAGAGCATGCGACTCTTGATCTCGGGGTCACGAGTTCAGGCCCCACATTGGGCCTAGAGCTAACTTAAAAATGAATAAATGTTTAAAAAAAAAAAAAACTTTTCCATCATTCCAAAATATCCCCTATACCCCTCTCCTTGCAGACTGTTTCCTCCCTTGGCCTCGGGCAAGCAGTGATCTCCTTTCTTCACTATAGTCTGGCCTTTTTTAGAATTTCCTAAAGAGCAGGATTTCTCAGCCTTGGCACTCTTGACATTTTGGGCTGGAGAATTCCTTGTCGTGGGGGCCTGGCCTGTGTTTGACACCATGTTTTAGCATCCTCAGTCTTCAGGATGCCCTTAGCGCTCCCCTCCCCCTGCCAGATGTGACAGGGAAAAATGTTTCTAGACATTGCCAAACATCCCCTTGGGGGCTGGGAGAGGTAATTGCGCCCCCCCCCCGTTGAGAACCATAGATAGAAATGAAATGACCATCTTGTTTTTTGTCTGGCTTCTTTCACTTACCATTTGAGATCTTTCCTTGTTAACTGCGCATATCTATAGTTTCATTTGACTGCTAAGTATATTCTTTCACTGTAGGGTTACCCCCATAGTTTCTTTCTCCATTCACCACAGTAGGTATTGAAGCCTCATAGTCTTGGTTCCTCCTACCATTTCTCACTGATGAGGTCATAGTTGAGCTCTATCTGCACTCAACTCCTTTCGTTAATACCTCTGGAGATAAGACTCTCGGGTTGTTCCCCCAATATGGGAAGGATTTTCATATGTGTAGACAGCCCCAGGTTTAATGGAGCAAATGAAAGCAGAGAAGCTAACTCATAGGTCTCTCCAGCACCGTGGCTTCTTTGCAGAGCTGAGTGCGCATGCCCTCCAGATGCCCCACTGATGCCCTGTGGTCATGCCTGGAACAACAGCCTGGGGTGGTAATCCAGCTGGGTTCTCCAGGTCTCTGGTGAACTAGAGAGCACTCCACTGCTTCCCGCTCCCAGCCCCACAGTACCCCCCAGGCACTCCTTACTCCCCACCATTACGTAAGCCCAACTGACGAGCTGCTCCTGCTCAGATTCATACCTGGCAGCTATGGATACCATGACTGTTTCCTCGCTTGGGTGAGGAGCACGGGGGTGAATCACCGAGGTACACTTCTCAGCTCCTGAGTACGGCTGCCCTTCTAGAATGCCCCCAGCACACCCAGGAGCAGCCACGGTACCTGAAGCTGCCCCAAGTGCCTGGACACATTTCTCGATAGATTTCCTGGGAAAATGGTTTGAGGCTTTGTGGCTGCACAAATACCATATTTGTGGGTTTGATGTCTTCTACTTCAAATCATGCTGGGACTTAGGAAAGAGAATCACTGAAAGATTGCTCCTGGAAGCTGTGGAAAATTTTTTACCTTATTTTCTACTGTCCCTTCACTTGCCAGTTACTTCATAGGAATTCTTTTGTTCCTAACCTGGGAGCTCAGGAGGGGCTCTCCCTCCCTGTCATACTATACACCACTTGAGACTTAGTGTGGTTAGGTTGCTATGGCAACGGTGTCACACCCTGTTTTTCCAAAAGGCTTTCCCGGCAAATGCCAAAGGGCATTCTTTGTCTCCCCATCCTGTGCGCTTGCGCGCTCTCTCTCTCTCTCTCTCTCTCTCTCGCTCTCGCTCGCTCTCTCTCTCTCTCTCTCTCTCCACCCCAAGGAAGAGCTTCACCATCCTCGCTTTTGCCCAAAGCCTGCCTGGGCCCTCCTTGCTTTTGCCTTGCTGAAATAATGAGGACCAGCTCACCCCGACCAATTCCACTTTCATCTGGCCTCTGCAGCCTGCTTGAGCCTCTGGCTGAGAACCCCAGCCCCTCCCAGGGCTGAAAAGAAGGGGGAAGCTGGGATGAGACTTGAACTCCAGCCAGATCTGGGTTCTGCCATTGCTTCCAAGAGTCAGGAGACGGAAGGAAGGGACCGGGCAAAGAGGAGCACGTAGTCCCCTGGTGGAAACCGCTCCTGGGCTGCACTGATGTCCCGGGTCCACAGCAGGATAGGTCACTCCCTCTCTGTCCTCTTTCCCTCACCCAAAATGGCCGGTCTGGTGTTGTCAGGACACATGCAGTGAGAACCCGCTGCCGACCATGGGAGTTGGCACGTGTAGCGGGCTGGGACTCTGCCCCAGCCTCGGGCTTTGCAGTGTGTGCAGGCGTGTTTTGCAGCAGCTGAGACTGGCAAAGCCCACGGAGCCGTCCCCTCAGCCCTGCTCAGCACTGAGTTCTTCATAGTAATAGTGAAACTCTGAGTGGAGATCCAAGTACCTTATCTGCTAGGAAAATATTAACCCAGCGCTGGGAGAGAAGAAGGCAAAGGCTGTGCTAGGCTATCAGCAGCCAGTCCAGGCAGCTACTCAGGGCTAAAAAATAGTCTTCCCGGGGCATGGCACACAGTGGGTACCCAGTAAGTACTTGCTGAGTATTATTGGTGCTGGTTTGTTCATTCTTTCCCTTCATCCTGCCCCACCCCACTCCGCCTGCTGTTTGCTTATTGTATGGTCCTTTTCATGAGAGAATGTTTTAAAGAGTGCAGGCAGACTCTTAAAACAAGCAGTGCATTGTCTGAGCGATCCAGAGCACACTCTGCAGGCCCGGGGTGGCCAGAGGCTACAGGGAGGAGAGCAGAGCGAGCAGGCAACTTGGGTGGGCAGTGGCCGATCTCCAGGGGAATTAGCCCTTGGGAGTTGTGGTTCTTCACATCAGAATCAGGCCTTTTGTTCCCAAGAATGAGGTGGACCAAAGGAGGGTTGATTGGTTTATTTTTAAAAGGACTAAGCTCATAACCAACAGGTAATTTTTTAAAGCATCATTTATGCACAAGGCCGTTTTTAATGTTCTGAGTCCTAGAGGAACTCTGAACTCCCTCTCCTCTATCTTGGGCAAGAGCTTCCAGAATTCTGGGAGGGTGTTGTAGGAACATAGCCAGTGGGAAACTGGAGCTGGCTCCCCTTGTCAGCCGGTGGTGCTCCCCTCTCTTCCTGTGCCTGGGTCCACCAACAGGAGCATCAGCTGATACCCCAGAAACTGGCAGATGCTGCAGATCAAAGCTTCTCCTCCCTTCCTCCCCCAGCAGGTTGTCAGACATTCACCAGCACACCCTGGACAGACCCTTTCCTGAAAAGTTCACTGCTGGGACATGGTAGCGCACATTCTTGACACCTGTCCCCTCTGCCTGAACTTCTCTTCCCGTGAGTCGGCACATGGCTGACTCCTTCTGGTCATTCGATCTCAACTCAGATGACAGAGGGGCCACTCTGAACACCGTTGTACTGTTTCATAGCCTTTCTCTCTCCCTGGAAAGGTCTTATGTGCCTTTTCTTTCCCTAACCATGTTTAGCCCCATCCTACCCACCCCCGACATACATCCACAGGAATTCTCTCTGTTCTCTCACAGCCTCCTTTTCTGAAAGAGTCCGGAACATGTCACCCGATGAAATCAAGATCCCGCCCGAGCCCCCTGGCAGGTGTTCGAACCACTTACAAGTAAGTGCGGAGCTCGGCCACCACGGCCCGTGTGGGGGAGAAGGGCTGCTCAGGTGTCCAGTTTGGTCTGACTTCAATAGCCTTCTGTAGGAGAGACAGCCAGGCGGGCAGGTCCCCGCACGTCCTGGTTACCTGTCTTAGCCTTCGTCAGGAGTTTGCTCTGAGCCAACTGCCCTCTGCCACATCCCCTGGTGCTATTCCAGTGGGACCCCAGCTCGCCCTCAGTGGGGTCCTAAGCCTAGATGGAGAAAATACCGCCGTTTTCTGTGCGACCCAGCTGAACCAACGGGGAACTTTGCTAAGAAACCGAGGGACCGTGAGAATGGAAAATAGATTATAGAAATGCAAAAACACAAGCGTTGATGTACCTAAGAGTCCTGTCCGCCTCTCCTGACAGAATCGCATACAGACCTGGCCTGAGGTTTTGAAATTCCAAGGAGTTGGAGCATTTAGTGCAGTTACTCCCTTGGGAGCAGGACCTCGGGGGGCAGCTGGGCCTTGCACCTCCTTTTCAGCACCTGCGATTGTTTCTCCTTGGCCCTCTGTGGGTTCCCCTGTGTGTGGAACTCAAGACGGACACAAGGGCAGACTCCCAGGGCTGCCCATTGCGGGCATCCGGTCCACCTGCTCTTGCCTTTGATCCCATAGGTTCTGCTGGCGCCTCTGGCTGCACACAGGCCCAGGGCACCATCCTACCAGATGGATGACTAAGGGGACCCGGGGCTGCGGAATGCAGCTGGCTGGGCAGGGCCAGAGTCGGGGCTGGGGGGGCACAGTACAGATGCTCTTCCTTTCCCAGAAGTCTCCTCCCTTGGCTGAGTTGTCCATGAGCATAGCGCCTCATCTCCCCGCCAGGCAACAAGCCACAGCCTGTAGGGACAGTCCAGCAGTCTGCCAGACAGAGACAACCAGCTGGCTCAGCCTTCAAGTTTAGTGTATTTCTCATTTTTAGATCTTCCTAATGGTAGAAACCATGACCTTAAGCGAACACTTTAGATGACCTGAAATGGGAGAACCCATCTGATGGCCCAAGAAACCCAGGAAAGTAATCTGTAAGATACAGGTCGGCCTCAATTTCCTGAGCCTTCTGTGTGAGGCCTCCCTGCTTTGCCCTTGAAGAGATAAACGTTGAGGTTTGTCACTCTTGGTCGTCTCTTCCCTGGTAAATGTATTACAAACCTCTCTCTGCACTTCAGTGCTTCCTCTGGCCAGTCTCGGCAGAAAGATTCAGCCTTCTGACAAAGGGAGTGGATCACCTCTCCTGATGTACCCCAGGGGCGTCACACAGGACCTCCAGCCCTGCCCACCTCCTCTTGCAGGTGAAGAGTACCCCAAATATTTTCCTTCTGGAGAGTCTGTGCATTTAGCCACCACTAGTGGGGGAGGCTGCAGAGAGACCTTGCCCTGGGCCAGCCCCAGCCTTGCTGGGTAAGACTGCTCCTCCTCAGAGGTGACTCTGCCCTGACACTCGGGTTTCTGGGGCCTCTTCCCGCGTTGGGTGGTGCGGCTGCCAACTGCCGCCGGCCTCCTCTCTGTGGGCCTTGAGACACCTGTGGGACTGGCCTGGATCTCTGCCAGGTGGTTCTCCTGTTGCCCATCGAAAGCCAGAGGAGGGGTCTGGTGGGGGACTTTTAATGAGATGGGCTCTTGAACCCTGACAGTGCCTCTGTCGGGGGGGCTGGCCATCTGTGAACCTCCCTACAAAGGACACTTTGGGAAGTTTGTGAGGCCAAATCCAAAAAACACTACTCCTTCCTTCCGCTGAAAGGACGTATCCTTCCCAGGTCTCCCACTGAGGACTTAACCCCGTGTTAAAATTCAAAACCATCATTGAGCCCCCCTGCCCATCCTCTTTGGATGAATCAGGAGCCGATTGATGGGGAGGGGGGCATCCATTGTCTTCTCTGTGGTTTCTCTGCCTTGACCTTTTTACTGTTCCCTCTGCCAGCCATCTAGAGGGAGTCAGGAGAAAGCAAAATGAAAATAGACTGGTCTCGGTTTATTTTATCTGTGCTCAGCGCTGGTCACAGGCTGGGTGGAGAAAGACAGTATGGCTGGAGTAGGGCTTTGCGTGGCTCTGTGGGTCTCCACCCAGCACATGTGACCACAGGCTGGGATTGCCAGTAGGTTGGGCAGTGTCATAAGCGCCTTTCTGTTTCTCTTCCACAGGACAAGATCCAGAAGCTTTATGAGCGGAAGGTAAAGGAAGGAATGGATATGAACTACATTATCCAAAGGAAAAAAGAATTTCGGAACCCCAGGTGAGTTTCCCATGGGCCTACAGGGTCAGTTGAGTCACTGTTGTTGGCCTAGGGACTGGAATGCTCCCGTGGAGGTGGCAAGGAGAAGCCCAGCTAAGATCCCACCTGTGCCCAAAGGGGCCACCACCCAGACTGCAGTAACACAGAAACCAGGATGAAGAGCGGACGCCGAGAGGCCTGAGCTAGGTTCTCCTCCTCACTCTGCTCCTAAGGCATACAGCCGCACAAGGCCTCAGTCTCCTCATCTCTACAGTGAGGGAATTGGACTAGACAGTCCCTGTGGGTTCCTCTTTCCCCTCCAAACTGTCACTGATGCTGCATGCAGGTGACAGGTTTTAGGAACAGAGCTGTGTCCAGGTTTTATTCCATCCAAGGCCCGAGCAGGTGGCACACGTGGTAAAGAGTCCAGTATGGTGACATCAGGGACCTGCCCCAGCCCTTATGTGGCCCTGTGTATGGTAGCCCCAACCTAGCCCCACAAACTGTAGGTCAGCTGTCTGGATAAGACCAAAAAAACACAGCCCTCACCTGGACACCATGCCTGTCCTGGCGCCTGGCTAATGATCCATCGCTCTGGGAGTGGGGAGGACTAGGAATGACTTAATGTCAGGCCAGCGAACATTTCCTCTTCTATCAGAAAGTTTGCTTGGAACAGTTCACATGGTTTAAAGGGTTCGTCTGAGCCCCGGAACTAGACAGTTACGATCTCTCAAAATCTGCTGCCACACAAGGCATGGGACTAGGGCCTGCTCAGTGCCTTCTGCTGTTCTTCTTTCAGTATCTACGAGAAGCTGATCCAGTTCTGTGCAATCGATGAGCTGGGCACCAACTACCCGAAGGTATGCCTTGCACACAGAGGCGGAGGGTTGAGGGGGGCTGCCCAGGGCCCTGTGCTCACTCTGCTGGATTCGGCCTGGAGCCACTGACCGTGTAGCGGTAGTGCTGGCTGAAGAGCTCAGTCCCCGGCTCCCCTGCATGAGCCCCCGTGGCTCTGAAATAGTCCAGGAGAGAGATTGCAGTGACAGACCTGGCCCCGGGGCCCTGATTTGGTTAGGGCCTCAGTGTGCACTCACTGGGCTCCTGCAGCACAGCCCACAGACAGACGCATCACCGCCTCATATTCCCGGGAGCAGATCGCCACCCCCGTGGCTGGAGACCAGGGATAACAGCTGAGCCCCTGTGCCCTTAAGGCAGGGGCCTCCAGGCCAGGAAAAATCCATGGAAAGACTTGGAGAGAGGGACTTGGGTTTCTAAGCCATTTGTCATCCAATGACCCTTGCTGGCTGCAGTGTTAACTTCCTTTTGCAGGATATGTTTGACCCCCACGGCTGGTCTGAGGACTCCTACTATGAGGCATTAGGTAGGTGGACGTCCATCTGTCTGTCCTTCTGTCTGTTCAGTCAGCCAGCCAACATGTATCTCAGGGTTTCCTCTGTGTCAGGCCATGTCTGAGGAGGTGGGTATACAGCCTTGAACGAGACAGACCCACTGTGACTTAGGAGGCTTATGACCTGGCACAGAAGGCAAAGAAGGAGCAGTCCCAGCAGTGAGGGGTGTGGTGGGGGTGCAGGCTGGGTCCCCTACCCAGCTGAAGGGGGCCGGAAGGGGGGACAGCCTTGCCAAAGAAGTCCTGTACAGGCTAAGGTTCGAAGGTGCAGAGAGAGTGTCCCAGGTGGGGGGACAGCGTGTCCTGAAACCAGTGAGAAAGCATTTTCTCAAGGGTCCCTCATAGGGAGAACTGGGAGGAATTTCAGAGTCCAAGCCCTCCGCTGACAGATCGTAACCCAGCAGCCCATGGAACAGATCTGGCCTGTAGGTGTGTTTTGTTTGGCCCGCGCAAGTTTTGCTTTAATTTGAATGAGTTGCCAACATTTTACCTCAAATCTGTAGTCCCGGCTTCCCTCGGTCAGCGGGAAGGCCGTCCACACGTGGCCTGCATCCCCGCGTGGCGACAGTCAGCTGGTGCTCCGGAGCAGCCGGCCGCTCCACACAAGGGTGCACAGCCCCAGCCCCTGAGCCTTCCAGTGTGAGGCCTCTGCTCGATGCTGGCCGAGGGCCGGCACTTCCATTTCTCCATCACAAAAGGACAGTGAATCCCGTGGCCTGGAGGCTACCTGTGCGCACTGGGCAAGAGCACAGGGGACAGGGCCAGTGCTGGTGTGGGGTCCCTCAGCCTGAAGTGGCCCTTCACGTGGGGGCTGTTCCAGGGCTGCTTTTCTCAGATCTTCCCTTGTCTTTGTAGCTAAAGCCCAGAAGATTGAAATGGACAAATTGGAAAAGGCCAAAAAGGAACGAACCAAAGTAAGTGACGGATGAATGTTCTGGTGGGAGGGGCGGGTACGTGCAGTGTTGTTGCCCAGCCCTCACCTTCGGCTTGGGGTGCCTCTCAGGTGCTTCCACTTGGTTTCCTGGGGTCTTGTGGTTTGCTGCGCTGTACCCTCCCCCTGCTCCCCTCACAGCCACTCTGCCCTGCTGGCTCTCACTGCTGGCGTCCGGGTCCTCCCCGGCCTGATAGACTGGCAGGTCTTCCTTCTGAGAGCGCTTTCCTGGCCTCCAGATCTGATGTCCGCAGTCCGCCTCACTGCCTCCTTGTAGGTCCCATGTCCAGTGGCCAGGTGACCCCTTATTTTAGGGCCCTGAGCACCACTTCTTCCCAAGCAGCACGGTCTGAATTCTTTGGGGAACAGAAATTTGACGCTGAGACTGAATGTCCTCAGGGCACCACCTGAGCCTCCAGGTTGCCTCCCGACCCCCAGGCAGGGGCTGCAGCCCTGGTGTGCTGGCAGCTCTCGGAGCGGCTGCTGGGGTGATGACCGTTCTAGCCCTTTCCCTCCCCATTCCAAACCCCAAGCTTAGTGTGGGCCATGTCTGCAGCACCCGGGAACGAAAGCTGTGCTTCTGTGCGGGTGGGTCCACCTCCACCCAGAATGTGAGGCAGGGCAGCAAGTTGGTTTGCCCTGCATGTGCAGAAACTTGGTGACACCGGGAGCATTGTTCTGTCTGTCTGGAAGGCTCTCCTCGGAGCGCCTGGGTGGCTCAGTCGGTTAAGTCAGACCAGGACCTTTGGCTCTGGTCAAGATCTGAGGGTCCTGGCATCGAGCCCCACTTCACCCTCTGCCTGCCGCTCCCCCTGCTTGTGCTCGCTCTCTATCTCACTCTCTGTCAGATAAATAGATAAAATCTTTAAAAAAAAAAAAAAAAAAGGAAGAGTCTCCTCAAAGTAGTAAAAATAGGTCCTCTCTCTCCGTCTTCCTCTGCCCCTCCCCACTCCTAATAAATAAAAGGGCCCCCTGGGTGGCTCAGTCAGTTAAACATCCAACTCTTGATTTTGGCTCAGGTCCGGATCTTAGGGTTGTGAGATCGAGCCCCAGGTCCGCTCCATGCTGGGTGTGGCACCTGCTTGAGACTCTCTCTCTCCCTCTCCCCCGCAGCTTAAAAAAAAAAAAAGGTAGTGAGCCGGCAGAAGGACGTGGATAAACAGTTGGGCACCGCCCTTACCTCTTTTCTCTGTCCCTCCAGATCGAGTTTGTGACAGGCACCAAGAAAGGTACCACGACCAACGCCACAGCCACTACCACCACCACGGCCAGCACAGCGGTGGCAGGTAGAAGGCAACTCGTCCGCTTCCAGCCGCACCACCGACAGAGCGAGGGTTTCCCTGCCTTGTTTGGGGGCGGGGCCTTGGGGATCTGGGCCTAGGCTCCACCTTGCCGTGCTTTGTCCTGACCCCCGAGCTTGTTAAGGCCTCTTGGGAGCCTGGGCTGCGGTCCCCCATTCACTGGCTGCCCCTCACATTTCTGTGGCTGGGCCCCCAGACTCTGACCGCGGGCCCTGCTAGAGAAGGGAGTGTTGCTATTTGGTTTGTCTTGGTCCTGATGCCTCCCTTGCCTTGTTCCAGATGCCCAGAAGAGGAAGAGCAAGTGGGACTCGGCCATCCCAGTGACGACGATAGCCCAGCCCACCATCCTCACCACCACGGCCACCCTGCCCGCTGTCGTCACAGTGACCACCAGTGCCAGTGGCTCCAAGACCACGGTCATCTCTGCCGTGGGCACCATCGTGAAAAAGGCCAAGCAGTGACGTGAGGGCCCAGCTTGGGGTGGCTTGGACGTTCTCTGAGGGGAGCTGCCTCTGCAGGACCTGAGGAGACTGTGCAACCCGGCGACCGACGTCGGTGCCGAGGTGCCGCCTTGTTGACTTCAGGACTGGGATCTGCTCCCAGATTCCACCCCACGAGAACCCTCTGTGTGGCAGCCCAGACAGGAAGGGGCCATTGCCACAGAGGAGGCAGCTGCCGTGGACAGTGTCCACAGAGGAGTCCGGTGCCCTCTCAGAAGCGCCATATTCTCACATCTCGGGCCTCTTGGCTGCACGGGCCTCTTCCGTGCTCTGTTCTGAGGCAGAAGTGGAAGTTCTGAGTGCCCTCTCCAGCTCCTCTTGTTGGGGTGACTACCTCAAGGTTGGTAGTAGAGCAGCCGAAGCCCGTGGCACTAGTCCGTGGGGGTGGCCCAGGAAGTTGCCGTGGTCGTTCCCAGCATCTGCCTCTCGGCGCGGGCAGGCGGGAGTCCAGACAGTCGGGGCGGAGGGGGTGCTGTTCCCGCTCTGCGCTGCCCTGACCCTGAAACCCGGCCAGTTCTCCGACAAGAGCCGAGGCCTCGGGGGTATTGAGCCCTCCCCGACCACTTTTTAGACACACCCCAGCTTTTGAAGTCAAGCCAGTTACCAGAAGGCCTGAGTTGGATCCCCAGCCCATGCAGGGAGCCCGGGAGGCCTGAGCGCCTGGCCAGGGCTGCCCCGGTGCCTCAGTGCCCAGCGAGCGCGGCCAGCAGGCTCCCCGCGGTGTGCAGCATGAATCACCTCCTGCCCCGGCCGGCGGCAGCTCATTGTTTACCTGGAAGCCAGGCTCTTGGCAGGCTCCTGCCACCCCACCTTTCCTGTGCCTGTTATCTCTGCCCCACAGCAGTGCCTGGGCAGCGCCTGCGGCCGCCAGGTCCCCCTTAAAGCCAAAACCGAATTTCCCAGCCGCTGTTGGCCCAAGAGTCCGGAGGGAATTCACTCGCCTTCCTTGCTCCTTGGCCACTCTCCAGGCCCGCGGAAGGGCTCCGTGTCAGAGAGGGAAGCCGGGCTGTGAAGAGCCGTGTTGCTTCGGTGGCACGGGCGGAGGGTTAGGAAGGAGGTGCTACGATGACATCTGGTAACTGCTTCGTCACCAGAGAAGTAGGATGATCCTGCCCCTGTCCCCAAAATCACTGTTGACCCACGGGCATCCCTTCCCCCCTCGCCCCCCTCCACACACAGGCGCTGAGAGGGGTCAGTGGTCACCCTCCCCTCTTTTGATGGGACTTAGCAACCCTGGAGAGGAGCTGCGACTTCCAGCGGAGGCCCCTCCATAGTGCAAGGGCACCGGGGCTTGTGTGGGAGGCCGTGCGGTGCCGTGGGAGTGGCCGGCATACACCTGGCACCTCTGCTCTGGATCCTGGCTTAGACAAGTTGTGTTTTAGTTGTGTGTCCTGGGCCCTTATCTCTGTGAGGCTTCCCTATCGGATCCCCGGAATAAAGCTTCCTAAGGCAACTGTGAGGCGTCCGTGAACTGATTTATGTAAGAGCTGTATAAATGTGAAGTACAACTGTTTGTTGCTGGCCCATCCGGTTCCTTCATTTAGACCAAGGAGAGAAGCAGACTCCACAGCTGATAAGACTGGCCAGGGTCATGGCCCTTGGCTATCCTCTGGGCACCCCCTGCCCTGCCCCCGAGCAGTAATGACCACTCACCCAATGAGTTGGGCAGCCCCAGGCGGCCATGCTGTTCCCCTTAGAAGCCTTGTGAGTTGGGTCAAGGCCTCAGATCCCTCTGAATTTGACTTTACTCTTCCGTAAGACAGGATTAGTTCCTGTCCACCTTAGTCCCACTGAGGGTAGCATGGGGTCAAATGACTAGTTCCTTTCTGTGGAGACTGGATGTTGCAGGCACTAGGGACCTAAGTGATTTCTGCCTGGTTGGCCCCTGCTCACAAAGAACTCAGTCTGGACAGATTGAACTCTGTCCCAGCCACCCAGGCACCCCTGCCCTCTTCCTATAGTTCTAACCTGGGGTGATGACCTCAGAATCCATCCCGGGCCAACAGCTCCATACCTGGGATCTTGTGCTGTCCCCACATCACATGGGCCCCTTGGGAAGCCCCTTCCCCGCCGCCATCCTTCTGCTTAGTTCTGGCCCTCATCCCTCTCATGGCAGTTTGCTCCGACCTCGTCTGTATGTTGTCTCAGCCTCCCTACTCCCATCCAAGCCCCATCTGGCCTCATCCTACACCCCCCTCACCATGGGGCTCTCACCAGGTCACATGGTCCCCTGCTTTCCACCCAAGAGTCCCCCCCTTCAGTGTGGCAATGCAAGGCTGCCAACAGCCTCGCCACTGCCAGCCTCCCGGCCTCCAGGTCTTCTCTACTGCCCTTTACCTGTCTCCACCCGGGCACCTGCGGCACTTCCAGATGCAGCTCAGGCTTTCCCTCCCAGACTCCCCCCGGGCGTTCCTCACTCCCTTCTCCGAGCCTTGTAACTTCTGCATACACGTTGCAGGGCTGAGACCACTCGGGTCTCCTGGTTCTCTTTGTGAGTGGACAGAGAGTGGTCAACGAGGCTGTGGCCCAAGTGCCCAGGTGATTGGAGGAACAGAGGGATGGAAGGAGAGGTGGTTTTCGCCCCCTTGGTCACTGGACTGAAAGCTCCCGACCCTTGTGCCCCGCCCTCCCAGCTTCCTCTTGTAGATCGTCCACACATTGGCAATTGCTGGGGCTCAGTCATGGGCACAGGAAGGTTCATTATCCCCTCTAATTTTGTATATGTTTAAAATCTCTGGGGGTGCCTGGGTGGCGGAGTCCCGGGATCGAGTCCCACTTCGGGCTCCCTGCTCAGTGGGAAGTCTGCTTCTCCCTCTGCTCCTCAATCCCCACTCTCCTACTGTCTCTCTCAAATAAATAAAATCTTTAAAAAATAAGATCTGTTCGGGCGCCTGGGTGGCTCAGTCATTAAGCATCTGCCTTCGGCTCAGGTCATGATCCCAGGGTGCTGGGATCGAGCCCCACATCGGGCTCCCTGCTCCGCGGGAAGCCTGCTTTTCCCTCTCCCGCTCCCCCTGCTTGTGTTCCCTCTCTCGCTGTGTCTCTGTCAAATAAATAAATAAAATCTTTTAAAAAAAAAAGAAAAGAAAAAGGCCTGTCGAGCCAGAAAAAAGAATGAGGAAGATCTCCATGGACAGATTTGGAGTGATCTTGAGGAGAGATAAAATGAAAAGGGCAAGGTGCAGAACACTGCAGTAATATGCCTTTTATGAAGAAAGGAAGGGAACACAAAACAAAAGTAAGAGAAAAGAGATAAAAGAATAAAATCTAAGAAATTAAGAAAATTCTCTATTGTTAAATTTGTATTGGAAATATCAGTATGAACTCATGATTCAAAAAAAAACTTCCAGGGCGCCTGGGTGGCTCAGTCTTAGTTAAGTGTCTGTCTTCGGCTCAGGTCATGGTCCCAGGGTCCTGGGATCCAGCCCCACGTCGGGCTCCCTGGGGAGTCTGCTTCTCTCTCTCCCCTCTGCTTGTGCTCTTGCTTGAACTCTCTCTCTGAAATAAATAAAATCCTTTTTTTAATTCAAAAAAATTTATTATTTGATAGAGACAGCGAGAGAGGGAACACAAGCAGGGGGAGTGGGAGAGGGAGAAGCAGGCTTCCCGCTGAACAGGGAGCCCGAAGCGGGGCTCTATCCCAGGACCCTGGGACCGTGACCTGAGCCGAAGGCAGACACTTAACAAAGACTGAGCTATAGCACCCGGATCTTGACCTCTAAAGGGGCCAGGGCTCCTTAGAGAAAGGAATCTTCGTTCCCAGAATCTAAGTTGTGACTGGGGCAGTTTGTTACAGAAAGCAAAGAAGACTAACAGGTGTTTCAAAGGTCAATCAAACTGGTTTAAAGGGATCTCCCACTGGCCAAATGTGATGAAATCTGAACATTCAGAAAGAACGCAATTATGTCAAAAAGGAAAAACCCCCGGGGCACCTGGGTGGCTCAGTCAACTGGTTAAGCGTCTGCCTTCGGCTCAGGTCATGATCCCAGGGTCCTGGGATCGAGCCCCGCATCAGGCTCCCTGCTCGACGGGAAGCCTGCTTCTCCCTCTCCCACTCCCCCTGCCTGTGTTCCCTCTCTTGCTGTGTCTCTCTCTGTCAAATAAATAAATAAAATCTTAAAAAAAAAAAAACCCTTGTTTTCTGTACACTACGACTCACAACACCCACGAAACACTTCTGACACCAAATGTATGGGCTTTCCACATCATGTAATTCTGACACCAACTGCCTGTAGTTTGTGAGAGCTTTGTCCGACAAGAGGGGGGACCCACCACTCAAATGCTAATTGTAGGGCTGGGCCTCTGATACTTCTGAACAACTGGCTATAAATTGGGGGGTCCCATGACCCGCTCCTCAGACTCAATAATTGGCTAGAATGGCTCACAGGACTCAGGAAAACGGTTTACTTAATGGATTACTGGTTTATAAAAGAATACAACTAAGGAAGAGCCAGATAGAAGAGATGCATAGAGGCTCAGTATGGAGCAAGGGGCTTGGAGCTTCCATGCCTTCTCTGGGCACACCAGCCTGCCAGCAGGCCAGGTGTTCAGCAACCTGGGAGCTCTCTGAACCCTCTTTGGTTAAGATGTTCATGGCGGCTTCATTACTAGGCGTGATGGATTAAATCATTGGACTATTAGTGATGGAACTGAATCTCCAGCTCCTCCCCCTCCTCCCCAGAGGTCCGTAGGGGCAGGGGTAGGGGTGGGGGAGTGTTGAAGCCAAAAGTTCCAACTCTAATCACGTGGTTGGTTCCCCTGACAACGAGCGCCCCTATCCTTCGTGGCTTTCCAAAAGTCACCTTATTAACATAAACTCTGTAGTGGTTGAAAGGGGCCTGTTATGAATAACAAAAGACACTCCTTTCACCTTTATCACTCCAGAGCTGCCCCAGGAACCATGGACAATGACCAAATATAGATCTCTTATATCACATCACCATTGTACACTATTTTTTTTTGAAGATTTTATTTATTTATTTGACACAGACACAGCGAGAGAGGGAACACAAGCGGGGGAGTGGGAGAGGGAGAAGCAGGCTTCCCGCGGAGCAGGGAGCCCGATGCGGGGCTCGATCCCGGGACCCTGGGACCATGACCTGAGCCAAAGGCAGCTGCTTAACTGACTGAGCCACCCAGTTGTCCCAATAAATAAAAGCCTGATTAGATTTAGGTGAAACATTTTTGGCAAAGATGGTCCTAGATGGTGCTGGGTGTGTTTTATTGGCTGGCACATGTTATCAGCTGCCTCACTGTTAGTGATTATTAAGGAAATGACTGCCATCTCTCTCCATTGTAAAAATACATTATTTACTTTGTCATTAAGAAGTAAGCTAGAGGGGATGATGATGCTTTGTCACTCTGCCCACTTCCCAGCAAACTTTCACTGAGTGGTTTTAGTCAGCATTCCTTGTTGATCTTTGCCTGAGTTTGGAGGTTGAAGAATGGTGATTTTCTGCTTCTACATTAATAGAAGCTATCCTTCTGATTAAAAAAGAAAAATAGGGCGCCTGGGTGGCTCAGTTGGTTAAGCGACTGCCTTCAGCTCAGGTCATGATCCTGGAGTCCTGGGATCGAGTCCCACATCGGGCTCCCTGCTCAGCGGGGAGTCTGCTTCTCCCTCTGACCCTCTTCCCTCTCATGCTCTCTGTCTCTCATTCTCTCTCTCTCAAATAAATAAATAAAATGTTTAGAAAAAAAGAAAAGAAAAAGAAAAAAGAAAAATAAAAGTTCCCTTCATCAACAGGGGATGAACTATGTGCCTCCAAAAATGTAGGATATGCCTGACTCAGTCAGTAGAGAATGTAACTCCTGATCTCGGGATTGTGAGTTCAAGCCCTACATTGGGTGTGTGTGTGGAGCTTACTTAAAAAAATTAATAAAAAAAAAAAAAAAACCTAAGTCCTCCAAAATACAGGATAAATGCTTCTTTTTGGGTTATAGAAACTTTTATTTTACCTTTTATTTTTTATTATTTCGTGTTTTATTGAACAGGTCTGAAATGTAAAGCTAAAATAGGACCTTTTTTTTTTTAAAGTAGGCTCTATGCCCAGCATGGGACATGAACTCACAACCCTGAGATCAAGACCTGAGTGGAAACCAAGAGTCACTTAGCTGACTGAGCCACCCAGGCACCCCTAAAATAGGACTTTAAGGGGGCATCTGGCTGGCTTGGTACAGAAGCACCATGTTGCGGGTAGAGACTACTTAAAAATAAAATCTTTAGGGGTGCTGGGTGGCTCAGTCGGTTAAGCGTCTGCCTTCGGATCAGGTTGTGATCCCAGAGTCTTGGGATCGAGCCCCGCATTGGGCTCCCAGCTCGGCGGAGAGCCTGCTTCTCCCTCTCCCTCTGCCTGCCGCTTCCCCTGCTTGTGCTCTCTCTTTCTCTCTGTCAAATAAATAAATAAATAAAATCTTGGGGCCCCTGGGTGGCTCAGGCATTAAGCGTCTGCCTTCGTCTCAGGTCATGGTCCCAGGGTCGTGGGATTCAGCCCCACATCTGGCTCCATGCTCCGTGGAATGCCTGCTTCTCCCTCTCCCACTCCCCCTGCTTGTGTTCCCTCTCTCTCTGTCTCTCTCTGTCAAATAAATAAATAATAAAATCTTTAAAAAAATAAATAAATAAAATCTTTAAAAAAATAAAACTTTAAGAATGTTGACTAATAAAAGGTGGGTAAAGTCCTATTCACACATTTAGTGAGTAGTAAATTAGGAAAATATGTAAAACTTTGGGAATTAGGAAAACCTGTTCAGGATTTAAGGGAGGTCCTCCGTTTCCTACTACAAAAATCTCCCATTGACTAGAGGCTATACAAACAAGAGTGTCGGTTTATGAAAAACTCTGAATTGCACAAAACCCCTTTCGGGAGGAGAAACGGCCAGTTTGCAGCAGGATGGTTTGCCTGCAGGGCAGGGCTGGAGGGCAGGAACACTGCTGGACACTGTGGCTCAGGTCAGGACCTGTAGGTAAGAGCAGGTTGGAGGGGTTAGTGCGTTCACCAAAAGGCTTTGCTTTCCAGTCAGTTTCTAGGATGCTGATGCTTTCCTCAAACAAGGTAGAAACTTTTTTTTTGTTTTTTAAGATTTTATTTATTTGAGAGAGAGAGAGAAAGAGAGAGCACGTGCATGAGCAGGGGGAGGGGTAGAGGGAGAGGGAAAAGCAGACTCCCCACTGAGCAGGAAGCCCCATATGGGGCTTGATTCCAGGACCCTGAGATCATGACCTGAGCAGAAGGCAGACGCTTAACCAACTGAGCCACCCAAGCGCCCCGAGGTAGAAACTTTTAAAAAATCACTATTATTACAAAACAACCCAAAAGATTTTGTGGTAAAAACATATAACATAAAAATTACCGTTTTAATCATTTGTAAATATACAGTTCAACAGTGTTAAGTATATTCACATTGTTGGGCAACAGGTCTCCAGAACTTTTCAACTTGAGAACTGAAACTCTATACCTATTAAACAGCTCCCCATTTCTTTCTCCTCCAGCCCCTGGTTAACTACCATTCTATTTTTTTGTCTCAATGAATTTGACTCCTTTAGAAACCTCATATAAATGGAATCATACAGTATTTGTCTTTCTGTAATTGGCTTATTTCCACTTACCATAATGTCCATCTATGTTGCATGTGGCAAGATTTCCTGCCTTTTTAAGGTTGAATAATATTCTTTAGTATCTAAATACCACATTTGGTTTATCCATCCGTCAATGGGCGTTGGGTTGTTCCCACCCCTTGGAAATTTGAATAGTGCTGCTATATGAACATGGTGTGCAAATAAATCTTCTCCACCCTACTTTCAATTATTTTGGATATATCCCAAAAGTGGGATTGATGGAACACGTGGTAGTCCCGTGTTTAATTTTTTGAGGACCACCATACTATGTTCTAGAGCAGTTGCATCATTTTATAATCCTGTCAATAATGCCCAAAGGGTGAATTCTTTTAACTATCAATTTCAGAGTAAATAGTTAATATATTCCACTCTAATGGTGGCTAATACATTTTTTCTTTTTTTCAAATACTATGCATGAATAATTTTTTTGCATGAATAATTTTTTATTTATTCAATAGTGTACAATGGTAGAGGCACCTGGATGGCTCAGTCGTTAAGCGTCTGCCAGGAAGAGGCAGAGGGAGAAGGCAAAGCTCTCTGCTGAGCAGGGAGCCCGATGTGGGGCTCGATCCTAGGACCCTGAAATCATGACCTGAGCTGAAATCAAGTCAGATGCTTAACTGACTGAGCCACCCAGGTGCCCCTGGGGGAAAAATAATTTAACAAGGGTCTATTGAGCAATCCCCTAGCCCTGGGGAGAGACCAGGCCTAGCAACTGTCCACCTGAGGGGTGTCTATCTCAGTTAGAGAGGTGGTTGACAGTGCGTCTCTAGAATGGTCACCAGACTGTTCTGATCACACATCCACTATTGATCATTTACCTTGTTTATTTGTAGAAACACGTACCACCCTACAATAAGTGATGTACATTGTCAAACACAAAACAGTGGATCATCTGGCATGTCCCTAGAGAGTCTGCAGTCCACTTTGGAGACCCATCGTTTTGTTTGTTTGTTTTTTAAAGATTTTATTTATTTGAGAGAGAGAGAATGAGAGATAGCACGAGAGGGAAGAGGGTCAGAGGGAGAAGCAGACTCCCCGTCGAGCAGGGAGCCCGATGTAGGACTCGATCCCAGGACTCCAGGATCATGACCTGAGCCGAAGGCAGTCGCTTAACCAACTGAGCCACCCAGGCACCCTGGAGACCCGTCGTTAAGCAGAGGGTGCTTGGCTGGCTCTGTCGGGAGAGCATGGGACTCCTGATCTCATAGGCCATGAGTTTAAGCCCTACGTTGGGCATAGAGCTTACTTTATTTATTTATTTTTAATTTTATTTATTTGTCAGGGAGAGAGAGAGCAGGGGGAGTGGCAGGCAGAGGGAGAGGAAGAAGCAGACTCCCCGCTGAGTAGGGGGGACATGGGGCTCGATCCCAGGACCCCGGGATCATGACCTGAGCCGAAGGCAGACACTTTACCAACTGAGCCACCCAGGTGCCCCAAATAAGATCTTAAAAAAAAAAAAAAAAAGACCACTGGTTAGGCCAGCAAGGGAGACTGTGGCTCACACAGTTGCAGGGAGCACTCACGTATCCATGGCACTGCCACATCTGGTCCCACCTGCCCCCATGATCAGTCTGAGAGTTGGCAGTGCACAAGCCTGCTTGCAGACGCTGGGAGGCTTTGTGGCAGTCGCATTTGGTTCAGCCATGCTTTCACTGAGCACCTGCTATGTGACAGGCACTGTGCTAGGTGCTGGAAATTAAAGGATGTGCTAGAGAGCATCCATCCCCGGGGCTCACAGTCTAGTGGGGAACAGAAACCCCTAAACAGATCATTTCAAACCAATATAGCAAATGAGAAGAAAAAGCCATGCCCTGGGGGCAGGGTGGCTACAGGGACACATAATCCAACCAAAGGTGCAGGGAGGTCAAGAGGCTCTCTGGAGCATGTGACATCAACGCAATGCTGTCAAGTGAAAGAAGGATAAACCAGGCTGGTTGGGGGCAGGGGTGTGGGAGAATGGAGACATCCTGAGCAGAGGGCCCAGCCTCCAGCAAAAGCACGGTGGCCGGAAGCTGCATGGTTTCGGCAGAGGGGCTGGGCTGCTAGTCTGGCACTGTTGGCAGGTGGGGCGAGAGAAGGAGACCAGGTTGGGGTCATCGAGCAACTTGAGAGGCTGCAGCTTGAACACGTGTGGCACTTGAAAGACTGCACGCAGAGGACCGCAGGGGTCAGATTTGTGAACCAGCTTGTCAAGAACAACTATAACAATTTGAGTGCCTACTCCATGTCAGGTCGGTGCTGGCCACTTAGTGGGTATTACATTTTAAGGAGGTTTAAGTACCTTGCCTGAGGACACTCAGGGAAGCAGTCCTTACTGGGATCTCCCTCTGGACACAAGTGCAGGCGGGGGGAAGGGGAGGCTGAGCGGACCCAAGGAATGACAGATCGAGCTGGGGCATCCCTGGGCCCGCGCCTTGCGCCGGCACAGGACGGAAGGCATGCGCGTGGTCGATTGCGGGTTTGGCCGTCGGGGCAGCGGGGCTGCTCACAGCCTAGCGTCCGGAGGTGGGAGGGCGGCGGTCGGAGCCGGGGGCTAACAGGCCACCCCCGGCCCCGAGGCTGCCGGACGCCCGAGTCGAGTCTGCAGCCTGGAGGGCTGGGGAGGCGCGGCGCCCGGGGCTGGACTGGAGAGAGGGGAGAGGCTCCTCCCCCGCCGCCATCAGTTGGGGCGCAGGGGCCGGGCGCCGAGGGAGCCGCAGCCTTTTCCGGGGGGCGGGCCCGGCGGCGGCGGCGGCGGCGCCCCGGCTCCTGTCTCGACAGGTGCGCGCCGCGCGCAGGAATGCAGCCGGCCTGACTCACCAGCGCCTCCTTCCCACCTGCCGCCCGCCCCATAAAGCGGTCCCCTCCCCGCGGCCGCCGCCCGCCGCCCGCCGCCCGCCCTCCCTGCCAGCCGCCCTCCGGACAGTCCCGGCTCGCCCGCGCGCTGCAGCCGGAGCGGCCGAGCGGAGCCCAGCGCGGGGAGGGCGCGAGTGCGCGCCAAGGTAGGTCTGGCCTCCGACCGCGGCAGGCGCCAGGGGCTTGGGCGCGGGCCGGCGGCAGTCAGGGGGTCGCCGGGCTGCACCCCGCCCGCCCCTCCAGTGTCCCTGACCGCTGGAGCTGGGCGTCCATTCTGGGACCTCGGAGGCGAGGAGGGGAAAGTGAGTGCCCACCCAGCCTGGCCGGCAAATCAGGGGACCCTTTTGGGAGGCCCGGGTGGCTTTTATTTCGTCAGCTCTTCCCTTCCTAAAGGTTGGCTGACCTTGGCCCCATCCTGCCCAGGGCACATGCCTGGGCTGCCAGGGTGTGCCCCGGGGGGCAGCTGGGGCAGCGGGGCAGTGGAGCCGGACAGGGCTCTTGGCCCTGAGACCTTGGCGCTAAAGGAGGGCAGCAGGGAGAGAGGCCTGAGGGTTGGGTGGGTGTTCGGGAGAAGTGGGCAAAGGCTCGGCAGTGGCTGGCGGGCCTATGGGCTGGGCCCACTGGGGTTTGCAAAGAAGTGGGGGGCAACAGCCACCTACAGGCAAAGGCTCTCCATGTTTGCCGAGGCCTGGCCTGCTGTGTGCAGTGCCACAAGGCCATCTGGGGCCTGGGGAGGTGCTGACTCCCCCCTTGGCCAAGCACATGTTTGCTGAGGTCTGGGGAGTCCCTGACTCTCTTTTTGGCCAAGTACATGCCTGCCCTCCCTTCAAAGTCAGCTCAGGACACCCTTCCTCCAGGAAGCTCTCCTGACCTCATTCAGCAGCCCTGGGAGCTATGCCCACCGCTGCAGCCTCTTCCAGCGCTTGCCCCCTTTCCCACTCAGCAACTGGTGGCCCTCTGGCTGTGGTGCAGGGACTTCCGATGGCTTCTGAAAGCCCGGCTAGGCTCCTTCCCTCCCCAGCACAGCCTGGCCACACCCTGAGCCCCAGGATCTGACAGAGCTGGAAATGAAGGCTGAGAGTCTCTCTCCATGCTGGGGGCTGAGAGAAGAGAGAGAGCTGGGGGACAGTGAGGAAGGGGTGCCTGTCTCCTGGGCCCCGATTTCTTTGGGTGATAGAGCAGCCGAGGGGCCAGGAGATGTGAAAACATGAAGGGCAGGGGCTATGGTGGGCAGGTGCAGATGTGCTAAGCAGGGGTCCTGTGGGATGGGAGGAAGTGTGTTTCCGGGAGAGTCCCAGGGTTGCCTGGAGAGTGCATGTCCTGAGTACCTGGCCCAGCCTGTGGCCACAACCTCCAGTAAGCCCATAATCCTAAATTTTCCATGAAATCTCATTGTTTTTAATGTTGACAGTTACTTTTAAAACTTTTTAAACACAAGTTGAGTCAAACAAAAACACTCTTGAGTGCATAACTAGCCCCCTAACGGCCATCTTATGGCCTCTGAGGATAACAAAGAAGTTAAATGGAGGCGGGTCTGGACTGCCCTGGTCCGGTCCGCGCCCCCCCCCCGCCCCCCCGCCCCCCGCCCCACTGCTGGCTGTGGGATGAGGAAGCCCTGCAGCCTTGTGCCCCATCCCTATCTCCTCATCTGGGAGATGGGGTAATGCAGTCATCCCCCACCGGGTTGCTGCGTAGATGAAATAGCCATCCCGTAGGTGAAGTGCTGGGCCCGTGCCTGCTCTGTGCCCAGCCTGTGGGCACGGGAGGGTGAGTAAGAGCTGGGTTCGGCCTTCCAGTGCCCATACCCGCGTGTATAATGGGCCCCGGGGAGGTCCAGTCTGCAACCTGTATTGTGTAGCATGTGGGTGTGGTGCCTACACCCCAAGGCTGCAGGAAAGTCATTTCCCCCGGCTGGCTCAGGGCTTCCTTACCCCAGGCCCCTCTGAGATGGCAGCTCTTCCCCAGCCTGTGGATGTTTTGGGGCTGCTGATGGCCTCCTGGGAGCCACATGCCTTAGAGGGAGGGAGGCAGGGCCTTCCTGCCCCCTTCCACAGGCTTCCCCAACCCTGGGGAGGTGGCACAGTGTATGTGTGTGTGTGTGTGAGCAGGAGAGGCTTGTAATATAGCTCCAGACTAACTTCTGGAAGGATGATCTGCTCAGGGACCCCGAAAACTCAACTCTGGAGCAGGCAGGGTAGGGGGTAGGGCAGGGGACCCCACCAGTGATGGGCCAGGCAGTCATTGCAGAGCCTAGCTGGGTGCGGCCAGCTCCCTCCTCCCCCCTGCAGGCCCCAGATCTTGGGAGGACCCCCTCTCCCCTTGGCCACACCACCTTCCTTAAAGGGCAATTAGGCCACGACAGAGACTGGGCGGGAGGGTAGAGCCAGGCCCTCAAGGGGCGGCCCCCTGTTGGGGGAGAGCTGACCCAGGCCCACTGGGATCTGAAAGTCAAAGGCAGAATAAGCCTTGCCCTGCCCTCCACGAGATCAGCTTAGGACACCTGGCATGAGCACAAGCTCAAAGCCCATAGTCCTCCATGATGTGAGGTGGGGCCTCCCGGGGCAGGGTGCAGGCCTGCAAGGCATCTAGTCACTCCAGGGAGGGCAAGAGGAATTGGGGGCCCTGGATCCCGCCGTTTGCAGGCTGGGTGGCCTTGGAATACCACTGAAGCTGTCTGAGCCTCGGTTTCCACCCCTGGGCAGTGGGAATGCTAGAGCTCTGACCGGCAGGGACCCGGGCTGGGGAACGTCTTATGTCAGTTATTGCTGTCATTATACAGGCGGAAGAGAATGGCAGGACCGAGTCCCAGCCCGTGGACCAGGCTGCTTCTGGCAGTCCTGCTGGGCGTCAGCTTCCCCGGGGAAATGGGTGAGTCTGGCACGCCTCTGCAACACCCTTCTGGGCGGGGGGGGGCATCCCTGTCAAGGCACTGCCCTCATACAGAGGCCGCCCACAGGGTGTCTTACCCCAACGCTCACTTGGCCATTCAACAAACAACCATGGCCCACTTCAAGGCCTGGGGAGCAGTGAGCCTGAGCCTTGTGGCCCAGAACACCGAGGAAGACTTGCTCTAGAGGCGAGAGAAGCTGCCCACTCAGCGAACTGAGGCACTTGCAGAGTGTTTTTTATGGGAACCTGGAGGAGAGACCGGTGACTCTCTTCCGGTCAGTTCCTACCGATGAAAATTTTGCCTTCAGAGAAGGCTGTGTTGGTAGCCTGGAATAGACCATGGCGGGAACATGGGCAATGCTGCAAGGCAGGACTTCTCCCTCCCCACCAGAGCCAGTGTTAAATACTGACCGCGCACCATCGCCCACCGCACAGGAGGCCACCCATTGTGTGCACTGAGTGTACACAGTAGGTCCTCACTGTGATTTTTTTTATTACAAATTTTCTTTTTTTTTTTTTAAGATTTTATTTATTTATTTGAGAGAGAGAGAGAGAGAGAGAGAGCACACGTGAGCGGGGGGTGGGGGGGAGGGGCAGAGGGAGAAGCAGGCTTCCCGCTGAGCAGGGAGCCCGATGCAGGGCTCGATCCCGGGACCCTGGGATCATGACCTGAGCCGAAGGCAGACGCTTAACTGACTGAGCCACCCAGGCGCCTCCCCCGCTCACTGTGATTTTAACTGAACAGAACCAAAGGGAATCCCAGTAAGCCTTGGGGAAACTCTGGAGTTTTTCTTCATTCATTTATTAACAATTTGCTGTGTGCTGGGCTTGGGCTGGGCTTGGGCTGGGTACTGGGAAACAGCAATAAGCAAGGCAGACACAGTTTCTGTCCCCTGGAGGAGCAGGGGAGGGACAGCCAGGGTGTCCCCACCAGCAAATTGGCCAGCCCTTCCGTCTCAGACTGCACCATCCGGACTTGAGTGCAAAGTTCAGGTGTGAGACCTGACTCTGCCCCAACTATGCCAGGGGGGCAGACCATCTACCCACTGGCCTCCCTTTCCTCCTCCGTAAAGTGAGAGAGAAACCCTGCCTCTCTCCAATGAGGATGCACGCGGGAAAGGGCTTGGTCCCTGGTGAGGTTCATCTCACGGGTCTGCTCATCTCTGCCCTCCAGCGAACCGCTGCAAGAGGGCCCAGGTGAAGAGCTGCACGGAGTGCATCCGCGTGGACAGGGAATGTGCCTACTGCATGGATGAGGTGAGCTGCTATCGCCTGCCTGCTATCCTGAGCCCAGCGCCAGCCCTGGCCTGTTCCCCAACCGGGGTGCCCCACCCCATCATGCCCCACGCCAGGCTCTGGCCAAGTCCACACCTGCTGCACCCTCAGCCCAGCCTTAGGCCGGGCGGGTGTGGAACAGTCAAGGATCAGGAGAGATCCGGGGTTGGGACAGCCAGGCGATGGGCACTGCCCCCCTGACCCCACCTCCTTTGGCCAGATGTTCAAGGAGCGGCGCTGCAACACCCAGGCAGAGCTGCTGGCTGCCGGCTGCCGGTGGGAGAGCATGGTGGTCATGGAGAGCAGCTTCGAGATCACAGAGGTGCCCGGACTGGGGGTCAAGGGAAGTGGGCCCACCCACGTTCAAGGCCGGCTGTTTACAGGGGTCCACTATGTCCACTGGCTGGGCTGAGAGGTTCCCCATCAGGTCTCTGGAGTGACCCTCCAGCCAGCTGTCCCCCTCCCCCGGACACAGGATACCCCGATCAACCCCAACCTGCAGCGCAGCCAGGTGTCGCCCCAGGGGTTACGGGTCCGGCTGCGGCCAGGCGAGGAGAAGCACTTTGAGCTGAAGGTGTTCGAGCCCGAGAAGAGCCCTATGGACCTGTACATCCTCATGGATTTCTCCAACTCCATGTCTGACGATCTGGACAACCTCAAGCAGATGGGAGAGAGACTGGGTATGGCTGGGCCAGCATAGAGGACAGTGGGGTAAGAAACGGAGCGGGTGGCCCCATCCAGCTGGCTGGGCCCCTGCTCAGGAGGCTAGGGCTCAGGATGGCTGTACCCATGCCACAAGGAAGGTTACGATATCTGAGCCCCCCAAGAAATCCCTTCCCTCCCATTCTGAGGCGTGGGTCCTAGCCAGACCCCACTAACCACTCAGGACTTCAGGCTGGGTGGGCAGCAGAGCCCTCTGACCCCGACAAGGAGCACACTCATGGCCATGAGGCTGAGGTTCTCCGGGCTCCTGGCTGCCCCCTCCAACTTGCTCCATGCATGACTCTGGGCCTGCCGAGTCCCATTTCCTTCGTCTGTGAACAGGGACAAGGGCTACTGTGAGCATGAACTGATGTTCACATGCAAGGTATTGACAGGAGGTTATTTTCCCTCTTCCTCCTTCCCGGGCCAGCCCCTGGCCCCCTCTGCTGATGTGGGGGTGTTGGGGCTCAGCTGCCCCCTCTTTTTCCTGTTGACACCCAGCCCAGGTCCTGAGCGAGCTCACTGATGACTACACTATTGGATTTGGCAAGTTTGTGGACAAAGTCAGCGTCCCTCAGACAGACATGAGGCCTGAGAAGTGAGTGACTGAGGGGAGCCGGGGGGCTTAGTCGGTTAAGCATCTGCCTTCGGCTCAGGTCATGATCCCATCGGGCTCCCTGCTCAGCTGGAGAGTCTGGGCATCTGCTCCTCCCTCTCTCTATGTCCCCCCACCCTTGCTCGCTCGCTCGCTCTCAAATAAATAAATACCTTTTTAAAAAATAAAATCTTAAAAGAAAAAAAAAAATGAGTGACCGAGTGGGCAGGGGTTCCAGCCACGGGACCCACCTCCTCGCTACCAGGGCACTTCGAAGTGTTCTGGTTGAAGTGGACCAGTGGGCCACTTTCAGAGAGGGTGGGCACAGGGGCATGGGGGTCTTCTTTCCTGACTCTGTCTCTCTCTCTCTCTCTCTCTCTCCCTCCACCTCTGCCCAGACTGAAGGAGCCCTGGCCCAAAAGCGACGCCCCCTTCTCCTTCAAGAATGTCATCAGCCTGACGGAAAACTTGGAAGAGTTTCGGAATAAACTGCTAGGGGAGCGGATCTCAGGCAACCTGGACGCTCCTGAAGGAGGTTTTGATGCCATCCTGCAGGTGGCCGTGTGCACGGTGAGTGCCAGGGAGAGCCCTGCCCACCCAGACCAGGATTGTGCTTCTTTGCAAGGGCATGAGCTGCCCACCGGCCTGCTCTGGTGTCAGGCCGAGACCCCTATGCCCAAAGACAAGCTAAGACCCTCCAGGGGGCCCGCAATTATAAGCCAGGTGGAGATGTGCTGGGATCCAAGGTCCCCCGGCCTGAGCGGTCAGTCTGCTTTTGTACTGACCAGCGAAGCAGACATGAGTTCTGGGGTTCTGGAATCTTCTGTGCCCTGAAGCCAGCCTACCACCAATCTCCCTGCTAATGCCAGTCTTCCAGGACCCACAGTCTCCAACTGCACCGGGCAGCTAGCTGAAGAGGGCAGTTTTTATGTGCATAGCAGTTTTTTCATTTTGAAAATAATATACCCATCGTATAAACAATTTGGAAAACAAAGAACAGAAATTGCCCATAATTTCACCCCAACCAGCCAGCCAGCCACTTGATATCCCACCAGCATATTTTGTTCCCTTTCCTTACTTTATAGAGCTGGAATCAGTGTACTTTTAATTCTGAAACTTGCTTTTTTTTTTTTCAATTAACACTGTCACGAGCATTTTCACTTGTAATACATAGTTTTCCAAATCCACGCACAGCTGCATCTATTTTAACCGGCCTTTTCTTTTTTTATATATATATTATTTATTTATTTGGGAGGAAGAGAGAGAGCACAAGCAGGGGGAGCTGCAGAGGGAGAGGGAGAAGCAGGCTCCCCACTGAGCAGGGAGCCCGACACAGGGCTTGATCCCAGGACCCAAGCCAAAAGCAGACGCTCAACCGACTAAGCCACCCAGGCTCCCCTGACCAGCCTTTTCATTCAACATTGTAGGTGTACATTTTCCCATGCAGTTAAAATATTTCCTCAGAGTAATTATGAAGCCTGGGGGGCCAGTCGGATGAAGCTAGCTCGGGTCTTGTGCGGTGACCACTGTGTGCACAGACCCCGCCTGCATCCTTCCTGCATCCTCATTGCCGCTTTCCGCTGCCCACCGCCGTGGCTCACGTGCTGTCACGTGCCTTGTCCATGATGGGGGCACGCCGTGAATCCTGTGGCTTAGCTGAGCTCATGTTGGGACCCGCTTCGTCAGTCATACACGACACTGTGACACATGTCCTCAGTAGGCAGCCTGCTCGATGGGCCTCCCCTCCTTGTCCTTCCCAGAGGGACATTGGCTGGCGCCCCGACAGCACCCACCTGCTGGTGTTCTCCACCGAGTCAGCTTTCCACTATGAGGCAGACGGTGTCAACGTGCTGGCCGGCATCATGAGCCGCAATGACGAGGCATGCCACCTGGACTCCTCGGGCACCTATACCCAGTACAAGACGCAGGACTATCCGTCTGTGCCCACCCTGGTGCGCCTGCTTGGCAAACACAACATCATCCCCATCTTTGCTGTCACCAACTACTCCTACAGCTATTACGAGGTGCGGGACGGAGGCCTCCCTGGGCAAGAGGGGGGCGGGAGGGGAGTCCACGGGACTTCTCAGACATCCTCCCTCCCTCCCACTGTTCCTTCCTTCCCAGAGCTTTTGGCTCCCCCAAGGGTGGACCCTCCCTGATGGGAAAGGGAGTTCGTGTGCCCATCCCCCAACCCCACTCCCCAGCAGGTAGGGGTGAGGAGGGCAGGCTCCAGAAGACACCAGGCCTTAGCTTCCCCATCAGCAAAGGGAGGATAACCCCAAAGCTATTGTCCAGATTCAGTGAGCTGATACTTGTTGAAGGCTTAGCCCTGGACTGGCACTGTCTCCCACAGAAGCTGCACACGTACTTCCCTGTCTCCTCACTGGGGGTGCTGCAAGAGGACTCCTCCAACATTGTGGAGTTGCTGCAGGAAGCCTTCAACGTAAGGGCCAGCGTGGGCCCCGGGCGGAGTCCTTCTGGGGCAGGGCTGGGGAGGAGGCAGAATGGGCAACGGAGGGCCCAAGTAAAGGTTGAGAAACAAGATAGGCCAGTGAGGAAGGGCCTCTGCTGTTCCCTGGGGACCCTGAGATGCCCACCTTAGCCTGGCCCCAAGTTCCTGCGGGCTCTGCCACCTTGACCCCCCCCACTCCACCTCAGTGCTCCGTGCAGAGTGGGTGGAGCTCAGCCAGGCCAGGCCAGAGGGGGTGAGCCCAGGCTCCCCCTCCCAGACCACTGATAGCTTGCCCTTCTTCAGCGCATTCGTTCCAACCTGGACATCCGGGCCCTGGAAAGCCCCCGAGGCCTGCGGACAGAGGTCACCTCCAATGACTTACAAAAGACGAATACTGGGTCCTTTCACATCCAGCGGGGGAAAGTGGTAAGCCTCTGGGGTTTTGGGAAGGGGAGGATGGGCACCAGGCCCTGCAAAGGTTGTGGGGGGGTGGTCTGCCTGAGCAGAGGTCAAGAGCGTGGCCTTTATGGCCTCCTGGCTAACTCTTGATCTCGAGGTCATGAGTTTGAGCCCCACGTTGGGCATAGAAATTACTTAATAAAAAAAATTGGGGGGAGGTGCCTGGGTGGCTCAGTCATTAAGCGTCTGCCTTCAGCTCAGGTCATGGTCCCAGGGTCCTGGGATCGAGCCCCGCATCGGGCTCCCTGCTCCGCGGGAAGCCTGCTTCTCCCTCTCCCACCGCCCCCCCCGCTTGTGTTCCCTCTCTCGCTGTGTCTCTCTCTCTTTGTCAAATAGATAAAATCTTTAAAAAAAATTTTTTTTTAATAATAATAATAATAAAAAAGAGCATGGCCTTCAGAGTCAGACAGGCCTGGGTTCAAAGCCCCCTGGGTTAGCCACTTGGATGACTTTGGCACCTTCCTCAGCTTGTTCTCCTCTGCGGAGTGGGGATTAATCAGCACAGAGCTCGGAGAGTTGCTCAGATGAGCGAATGGACCAGAGGGGCCTCTTGTCAATGTCCATTTGGCTGACAGTGGAATCCTTGCAGGGCACATACCAGGTGCAGCTGCGGGCTATGGAGGCTGTGGATGGGACTCACGTGTGCCAGCTGGGGGAAGAGGACCAGAAGGGCAACATCCACCTGAAGCCCTCCTTCTCGGATGGCCTCTGGATGGATGCGGGCATCATCTGCGACGTGTGTCCATGTGAGCTGGTACGATGCGGCCCCTCTAGGCGGGAGGGAAGGGCTGGCCAACTGCCCTGGGGCCCCGAGGAATGAAGCCAAGCCTCCGGGGGGCATGCCTGCCTTGTGGGGTGCCCTGAGGGGCAGAGGCAGCAGAAATGTCCAGGGACCCTGTTGCACCCCGCCATGATCTCGTTCCAGCAAAAAGAGGAGCTTTCAGCTCACTGCAACTACCACGGCGACTTCGTGTGTGGACACTGTGTGTGCAATGAGGGCTGGTGAGTGTGCGGGGATGCCCTGGCCACCGTAAGGCTCTGATGTGGGGCATCCCACGGATGCCCGGCTGAGGGCGGGATGGCGGGTCACAGAGAGGCTTGCAAAGGGGCATGCCCCGTTGTGAGGGGGATCCAGCTCAAAGCACTTCAAAATACATAGACATAAAGAATATCTCTGAGGGGCGTCTGGGTGGCTCAGATGGTTAAGGGTCTGCTTTCAGCTCAGGTCCTGGTCCCAGGGTCCTGGGATCAAGCCCCACGTCGGGCTCCCAGCTCAGTGGGGAGTCTGCTTCTCCCTCTCCCTCTGCCTCTCTCCCCTGCTCATGCTCTCTCTCTCTCTCTCTCTCTCTCTGTGTCTCTCTCTCAAATGAATAAATAAAATCTTAAAAAAAAAAAAAAGAATATCTCTGAGCAAAGGTGTAAGAATTAGGACAGTGGTGGCCAGCAGCGTGTGGGGACTGGCTGGTGGGGGACAGACACAGAGGGACACTTACTTTTCACTCCTTCCCTTTGTATTTAGTATTCTGAACCGTGCGCACGTGTGACCTAATCAGAAATGAGCTCATCATAAGGGTAGTGAGGGCTCTTAAAGCTTCAAGACACTGAACAAGTCCATGGTGACTTGAGGAAGGGACACTGGGAGGGTCTTGGGACGGACGTTTGAGTCTCAGCTCAGGCACCGCTGTCTGTGTGACTTGGACCCACTGAGGTGCTCTCCGAGCCTCAGCTTCCTCATCTGTGCAATGGGACGGTAAACGCCCCAGCCTTCCTCCCGGGCTGTGGGGAAGTGACTGGCTCCTTCCTCAGGAGCGGCAAGACCTGCAGCTGCTCCACGGGCTCACTGAGTGACATCAAGCCCTGCCTGCGGGAGGGCGAGGACAAGCCGTGCTCCGGACGTGGCGAGTGCCAGTGTGGCCACTGCGTGTGCTACGGAGAAGGCCGCTACGAGGGTCCGTTCTGCGAGTATGACAACTTCCAGTGTCCCCGTGCCTCCGGGGTCCTCTGTAACGGTGAGCTCAGCAGCCCCGGCGGCCAGTGCTGGGGGGCTCGGGACAGCAAGGGCAACCTGGGCGTCCTGACCCAGGGGGGAGGGCCAGGCCAGGAGTCAGAATCCCCAAGTTCAGACCTAGCCCCCCTCGGGGCTCCCCCAGTGCCGCCCCCCAAGTCCACCCCAACCTGGACCTCCCACCCCTCTACAGACTTGATACCCAAGGCCCCTGCTCATGCTTCAGACCACTCCCCCTGAGGTCCTGTGGTCTCTGCCATCTCATGAGGGTTGGTCCCATCCAGCTGAATCCTCAGCGGCTGCTGGTATGTGGCAGGACGGTCTTTCCTCTCTCAGGGCTTGGAGTTACGTGTCCACCGTAGCCCCCCACGCTTAATGCAGTGTGGCCAGGGCTTCCAAGCAGGGCAAGGGTCACAGAACCCACACAGGGGCCACAGGAAGGATTGAGTGGTTTGAATGGAGGAGAATCAATGAAAACCCAGCCATCAATTACTTATTTAGCCCCAACTGTCTACTTGTCACTGGAGGTCAAGGCCCTGCTTTCCTACCTTTCCTCCCTTCTTGCTTTTGTCTGTTACGTCTCCTCTTCGGTCGTCCATGCCAGAGTGTGCTCAGAGCAACGGAAGGAGAGCCCGGTATATCTGGAGGGAGGCAGGCATTTGGCACAGGCTCGGCTGTGAGGAGGGGAGGCGGAGGCTGCTGGGGAAGGAGACAGGACCAGAATGCGGGGGGCTCGGGGTCCATCCAGGGTGGGTCCAGTTCTAGTCTAGTCTGAACTTTTATTTTCTTTCTTTTTTTTTTTTTTTTGATTTTGTTTTGTTGTTGTTGTTGTTGTTTATTTGAGGGAGAGAGAGTGAGAGCATGAAAGGGGGGAGGGTCAGAGGGAGAAGCAGACTCCCCACTGAGCAGGGAGCCCGATGCCGGACCCCATCCCAGGACTCCAGCATCATGCCCTGAGCCGAAGGCAGACGCTTAACCAACTGAGCCACCCAGGTGCCCCTCTTTTTTTTTCTTTTAAAGATTTTATTTATTGGGGCGCCTGGGTGGCTCAGTCGTTAAGCGTCTGCCTTCAGCTCAGGTCATGATCCCAGGGTCCTGGGATCGAGCCCCACATCAGGCTCCTTGCTCAGCAGGAAGCCTGCTTCTCCCTCTCCACTCCTCCTGCTTGTGTTCCCTCTCTCGCTCTGTCTCTCTCTGTCAAATGAATAAATAAAATCTTTCGCAGAGAGAGACACAGTGAGAGAGGAAACACAAGCAGGGGGAGTGGGAGAGGGAGAAGCAGGCTTCCTGCCGAGCAGGGAGCCCTGTGTGAGGCCCCAGGACCCTGGGATCATGATCTGGGCCGAAGGCAGATGCTTAACTGTCTGAGCCACCCAGGAGCCCCTGAACTTTTTCTTAAAGGACCAGAAAGTAAATATTTTCGGCTTTATGAGCCATATGGTCTCTGTCACGACTACTTAGCTCTGCCACTGTAGTAGAAAGCAGCGACAGACATTTACATACACAAATAAATGTGGCTGTATTCCAATAAAACTTTAGCAAAAATAGGTCGTGAGTTGGATTTGGCCTGCAGGCTGTAGTTAATCAACCCTTATTCTGGTTTAAGGATAGTAGACTTACTCCTTTGGCAAAAGGGAGTTATTGGAGGTTTCATTTTTGAGCTATTTGTGTGTTAACCTTGTATCCAGCCACTTTGGTAAAATCACTTATGAATGGGGCACCTGGGTGGCTCAGTTGGTCAAGCGTCTGTCCCTCTCCCTCTGCCCCTTCTCTCTGCCCATGCTCTCTGTCTCTCTCTCAAATAAATAAAATCTTGGGGCGCCTGAGTGGCTCAGTAGTTAAGCGTCTGCCTTCGGCTTGGGTCATGATCCTAGGGTCTGGGATCGAGCCCTACGTCGGACTCCCTGCTCGGCGGGAAGCCTGCTTCTCCCTCTCTCACTCCCCCTGCTTGTGTTCCCTCTCTCGCTGTGTCTTTCTGTCAAATAAATAAATGAGGGCGCCTGGGTGGCTCAGTTGGTTAGGCAACTGCCTTCAGCTCAGGTCATGATCCTGGAGTCCCGGGATCGAGTCCCGTATCGGGCTCCCTGCTCGGCAGGGAGTCTGCTTCTCCCTCTGACCCTCTCCCCTCTCATGTGCTCTCTCACCTCTCAAATAAATAAATAAATAAAATCTTTAAAAAAAATTTAAATAAATAAAATCTTTAAAATAAATAAATTAATTAAAAATCTTAAAAAGGGCATTATAAGCTTAGAAAATTTAAAAACATCACTTATGAAATCTAATAATTTATCTGCAAGTTCTTTTTGATATTTTGTGACATGTTCCTAATATATACTTTTTAAGATTTTATTTTTACATAATCTCTACACCTGACGTGGGGCTTGAATTTACAACCCTGAGATCAAGAGTCACATGCTCCACTGACTGAGCCAGTCAGGCACCCCATGTTCCTAATATTTAAAATAATGGCAGTTTTATTTCTTACTTTACAATACTTACATGTTTTATTTCTTTTTCTTACCTTATTGCATTGGTCAGAACTCATCAGAGATTCTTAAACCGGAGAGACACGTGGTTGGATTTGTGTTTTGGGATAATGACTCTGGCTGTAGAGTGGAAAGTAGAAGGCAGAATGGAATCGGAGAGAGGGAGGGAAGGAGATTCCAAGAAACTGAAGAAGAGCTGGGGGCGCCTGGGTGGCGCAGTCGTTAAGCATCTGCCTTCGGCGCAGGTCGTGATCCCAGGGTCCTGGGATCGAGCCCCGCCTCGGGCTCCCCGCTCCGCGGGAAGCCTGCTTCTCCCTCTCCCACTCCCCCTACTTGTGTCCCCTCTCTCGCTGTCTCTCTCTGTCAAATAAATAAATAAAACCTTTAAAAAAAAAAAATTAGAAGAGATGGATCTGCCCCTGGCTGGAGAAATCCCAGCTCAGGCTGAGCAACCACAGGCCCTGCCTGGCAGATGGGCAGCCTGGACTGCAGGAGTGAATGTGACGCTCCTCTCCTACCCCTCCCCCCTCTCTTCAGACCGGGGACGCTGTTCCATGGGCCAGTGCGCGTGTGAGTCTGGGTGGACAGGCTTGAGCTGTGACTGTCCTCTCAGCAATGCCACCTGCATCGACAGCAGTGGGGTAGGACGGGGCACCAGGAGGGCAGTGCAGGGTGGCAGAAGGGATGCTAGCCAGAACCACCCACCCTCTCAGGCAGGGATGGGGGTACCAGTGCCTCACTGGTGCCTCCTCTTTCTCTAGGGCATCTGTAATGGGCGTGGCTACTGCGAGTGTGGCCGCTGCCACTGTAACCAGCAGTCGCTCTACACGGACACCATCTGTGAGATCAACTACTCAGCGGTGAGGCCAAGGTCACTGGTGTGTGGGCATGGGAACCTTAGGCACAGGGCAGGGCGGACAGGAAGCACTGAGCCTGGTGATATAGGAGCCAGCCAGGGGTGTGAGTGAGGTTAGGGGAGCGGGCCTGGCAACCCCCCAGCACACCCCCACCCCCCCTCCTCTCCTCCCCAGATCCGCCTGGGCCTCTGCGAGGACCTGCGCTCCTGTGTGCAGTGCCAAGCCTGGGGCACTGGTGAGAAGAAAGGCCGCATGTGCGAGGAGTGCAGCTTCAAGGTCAAGATGGTGGACGAGCTTAAGAGAGGTGTGAGGCAGTGCCGAGGGCGGGGGTGCTAAGAACCTAGGCACAGGGCATCCGATGGGTAGGGGTGTCACTCAGCTGGGCAGGGCTGCTGTAGAGCTGGGCAGAGGGCTCACAATCCGGGTTGAGGTCACGCAGACCAGAGAGACGGGGGAGGGATCCCAGCCCGGGGAGAGGTCACAGAATGCAGACGGGACCCACAGACCCGGGGGCAGGAAGCACAGCTGAGTAGGGACCAAAGAGTCTGGGGAGGGGGAGCCTGGCTTAGGCAGGGGGCAGATAGCCGGGCAGGGATATGAATACAGTAGGGGCACGTCACTGGGCCTTGGGAGCACACAGCCTCCTCTCTTCCAGGTCAGATAAATGTCCTAGAAGCCGAGTTCCTGAGTGACACCCAGGATGGGGAGGGGCGGGCACAGATTTGCAGCCTTTGATGCTCCTGGGCGGGGACAGGGTGGCGCCCCACCTCAGCCTGGCCCTGTGCCCGGGGACTTGCGTCCCTGCGGTGGGCACGGTGGGCCCCAGAGTAGGGAGCACCTCCCCAGGCCTGAGGCACCTGCTGACCCCCTATGCGTGCAGCGGAGGAGGTGGTGGAGCACTGCTCCTTCCGGGATGAAGAAGATGACTGCACGTACAGCTACACGGTGGGGGGCGACGGGGCCCCCGGGCCCAACAGCACGGTCCTGGTACACAGGAAGAAGGGTGAGCTGGCGGGCAGGGCCGGCGGGTGACCTGGCAGGCCCCAGTGGGGAGTGGGCATCACCTCCCTCCTTACCCTCCTCCCCTTCCTCCGCAGACTGTCCACCCAGGTCCTTCTGGTGGCTCATCCCTCTGCTCATCTTCCTGCTGCTGCTCCTGGCGCTGCTACTGCTCCTCTGCTGGAAATACTGCGCCTGCTGCAAGGTGGGGGCTCCTCGGGGCCCCGTCCACCAGGCCGCTTACCCCAGGGCCCCACCCCCGCCGGGGTCGCTTACCCCAGGGGCCCCCGCGCCACCCCCCCCACCCGGGCCGCTTACCCACCAGGGCCCCGCTTGCCCCAGGGCCCCTCCCCCCGCCGCCAGGGGCCCCATCCCCCCTAAGAACCCCTACTCCCACCAGGTGCCCATCCCCCACCAGGGTCCCACTTCCCACCAGTGTCCCTACTTACCCCAGGGTCTCCACTCACCCTGGGGCCTCCAGCCCCCCTAGGGTCCTCATAGGTGGCAGAGGCCAGGTGAACCCACGTCTTCTGCCCAGCTCTAGTGCCCTCCCCACCCCAGCCCTTTGCCTCTGCCAACCATCAGTGGCCCGGACCTGAGACTACTTGTCCTCAGGTCAAGTACATGCAAAGGGCCAGGGGAGCCAACAGGGAAGAAAGGGCCTTGCCCGCCAGGAGCTGATAGTCTCACTGGGGAGAAGAGATAAGAGGCAAGAAAGCATGGAGGACGGCCCGGCTCAGGATCCTGAATTGTAGAAACAGGAGGCGCTGTGTAGTAGCCCCAGTATTGTGGGATATTAGTGTGTGTTACAGAGAAAAAGACATCTCTGATCTAATACATTTGAGAAAGAGGCTTCTTCTCTTGTGGGACTTCTCAGAGCCTTTGATCTATTTGTATGCATAGTGAAACTCTGAGAGGGGCATGGGGAATGAATTCAGTGCTTCTCAAAGGGGCTCCATCATAGATCCTTTACTTTACAGATCATCTCGCAGGACCAGGGTCCCATGGCACAAACTTTGGGAATCCTCTGCCCCCGTCACCCTCCGTACTCACCCTGTGTGTTCCACACCTAGATCCCTTCAACTTCCTTGATATCCTGGTGTCTGGGGAAGGCACTGTTGCCCCTCTGGACCATTGGCACGGAGAGCGGGGTAGCTGGAGGGGCTTCTGTGAGCTGAGGCAGCTGTCCCAGCCCTCATCCCCACCCACCTTGTCTTCTAGGCTTGCCTGGCACTTCTCCCTTGCTGCAACCGAGGTATTGACCCAGCATCTGCAGGGGCGGCAAGGGCTCTGACCGCTCATGCTCCCAGATAGGGTGGAGGGGAAATAGGGGCTGAGTCTGGAACAGAGGCAGGAGGCCTGGGGTCCCACCTGGAGGGGGTGTGGCGGGGAGGGCCTAGGGTGAGGCCCCATGCGGAGGACCCTGTCATGCAGGTCACATGGTGGGCTTCAAGGAAGATCACTACATGCTGCGGGAGAACCTGATGGCCTCGGACCACCTGGATACGCCCATGTTACGCAGCGGGAACCTCAAGGGACGGGACATGGTCCGATGGAAGATCACCAACAATGTGCAGCGGCCTGGCTTGGCCACCCACACCTCCAGCACCAACCCCACAGAGCTGGGTGAGGGCGGGGGCTTGGCGCGGTGGCTCTTGGCAGTGCCCCGGGGGCCTGGGGCACATTCACCACTGTTACGGGTTTCAAGTCACAGCATTCCCGTTTTCTCTGGGTGTTGGCTGCAGGCACAGGCTTGGCCAACTTCTGCCTTTCCTGATGGTGCTCCAGGCCTCAGGGTCTCGGCCCGCCAGTCCCCCCCACCCCCCACCATCCTAGCATGGCTCCTGGAGGGGGCTTCCAGGGTGCCTGCTGTGCAGGGGGCTGATGACCCCCCTCCCTGCCTGTCCCTAGTGCCCTACGGGCTGTCCCTGCGCCTCGCCCGCCTGTGCACCGAGAACCTGCTGAAACCTGACACGCGAGAGTGTAACCAGCTGCGCCAGGAGGTGGAGGAGAATGTAAGGGTCAAAGAAGCTGATCTCTGGGCTTGGGGGTGATCCTGGTAGCGGGAGAGCAAGGGAAAGCTGCTGTGGAACCTGGATTTTTCTGCATAGGAAAGAGGGGCTTCCTTGGACATGTGCCTGGCCTGGGGTCATCCTATGAATGTTTCCAGAAGGGGACAAGGCAATGTGCAGGCCCCTGTGCATGTCCCCACCCAACCATGTCCATTGGGCCTGGATGGCTCTGGGTAGGGAGGCTTACCCAGGACGCCAGCCTCATGCCTTTCCTTGCCTGGCAGCTGAATGAGGTGTACCGACAGATAACAGACTCACATAAGCTCCAGCAGACTAAGTTCCGGTGGGTCCTGGGTGCCTGGGGCTGGTGGGGGGAGCTGCCCATACTGCCCACTCTAGGGGACACCCCCCAAGCAGGGCGTGCCTCCACCCCAGACACTATGCGGCTCACAGCCCCCTCTTGGTCCCCCACAGGCAGCAGCCCAACGCCGGGAAAAAGTGAGTTGAAGGCACACGGGTGGGGCAGCCCCAGGTCAAGTATCTTGCCCCAGATTACCGAGTTACTGAGAAATAGAGCCAGGATTTGAACCCAGCCTGTCTGACTCCAGCGCCCATACCCGTAGCATCTTTTCTGTCCTGCATCTACTCCTGGGAGCCCACCTGAAGGGGTGTGGCTGGGAGGGTCTAGGGAGGGGCCCCATTTCATAAATGAGGACCCTGAGGCTCAAGGAGGCACAGTGGCTTGACTGAGGCTCAGGGTGAGGTGGTGGGGCCAGCATGGGCCTCCAGGACTGCCCAATTCCGAAGACCCTGCACTTTTTGCTGCCAGGCATCTTGTCCCCTGCTGGGGAGAGGACAAGCAGGAGGGTGGGGGATGGGGGGTCAAGTGCCAGCATCATGGCCAGCCTGACACATCCCCACCTGACCCCCTACCCCCACCCCAGGCAGGACCACACCATCGTGGACACGGTGCTGACGGCACCCCGCTCAGCCAAGCAGGCCTTGCTGAAGCTGACAGAGAAGCATGTGGAGCAGGGGTCCTTCCACGAGCTCAAGGTGGCCCCGGGCTACTACACCCTCACTGCAGACCAGGGTAGGTGGGCAGGCTCCCTGCACCACTCCCTTGTGCCTCCCACCCCAGTGTGGCCCCCTGACCCCTCTCTGTCCCCCCAACACCCACCCAGATGCCCGGGGCATGGTGGAGTTCCAGGAGGGCGTGGAGCTGGTAGACGTGCGGGTGCCCCTCTTCATCCGGCCTGAGGACGACGACGAGAAGCAGCTGCTGGTGGAGGCCATCGACGTGCCCATGGGCACCGCCACCCTCGGCCGCCGCCTGGTAAACATCACCATCATCAAGGAGCAAGGTAGATCAGGGCAGAGGGAGCAGGGAGGGGGCAGAAGGGGGACTCTGGGAACCCTTGTTCCTCCTGATACCTGAGTGGAAATGGGGCCCGGCCATGTGGCATAGGCAAGTCACTTAACCTCTGTGAGCCTTGGTTTCTCCATCTGTAAAGTGGGCGTCTGGCTCTCGACAGGGGTACATCGCTGCACGTGCCTGGTAGTGAGCATTCATGTGGGAGCTTCTGTTATACTCCTCGTAGGGTGCTGGGTCCTCCTGAAGTTGCCCCCGTCCCTCCTGTTGTTCTTCCCTCCCTTCTGGCCTTTGAACTTAGGTTGAATAGACCTCTGTAGGATGCCAGGACGGGAGAGCAGGAAGGGCTGTGGGAGGTGGTTTCACCCACGCCTATCCAGAGGGAAAGCACGTACTGTATACCGCTTACGCCCTCTTTGCCTTCCCTACCTGCTCCTCGGGGAACCCTGGGTTGTTGATGACTGTCCTTCCTGCATCCAGAGGGCCTGCTCTGGCCCCTGAGCCCTCCTGCCCACCTGCTCCAGCAAACACAGGACTCTGTCCTGCTCTGCCCCGGCCCTCAGTCTCGGGGCCTCTTCTCTGGCTGCGCCCCTGCCTGGCCTCCTTTCTCTGCCCTGACATGTCCGGGATGTCAGTGGGACTCTGTTCCAGCTCCCTCAGTCTTTTCTGGAAGAATTTTCTATGCCTTCCTCTGCTCTCCCCAGAGGGCAGTAGGGTGAGGAATGAGAGGCAGACTCCTGGCGTCGAGGCGGGGCTGGGCCAGAGGAAGGGTGGGTGTGGACAAGGGACTGAGGCCAGGACGCCCTGACTGCCGCCTGGGTCCTTGCAGCCAGCGGGATAGTGTCTTTTGAGAAGCCCGAGTACTCGGTCAGCGGCGGGGAGCAAGTGGCCCGCATTCCTGTCGTCCGGCGCGTCCTGGACAATGGCAAGTCCCAGGTGTCCTACCGCACACAGGATAACACTGCCCAGGGCAACCGGGTAAGGCTCCACCATGGGGTCAACGGCATTTCCCAGGGGCCCAGCGAGAGTGGGACATGGCAGCCACCAGAGTCCCCGGCTGCCGGAGGTGCCCCTGGCTAGCCTCCCAAGGACACACCTACCTCTACCTGCACCCGCCACTCGGCAGCAGGGGTGTCTCGCTCACCAGAAGTGCCAGTGGTGCCTGAGGTGAGGCCCCATCGCTGCCAGGGACACGTCCAGAGCATTCATGTCTCCTTCCAACAAGCCGGTATCTATCAGGGCAGCCAAACCCTTCAGAGTGAAATGGACTTCCCCATCTGCCCCAGTTCTGGGGCTTTGGGCTTCTTCTTCCTCTTCTTCTTTTTTTTTTCCTTAAGATTTTATTTATTTATTTATTTGAGAGAGAGAGAGAGAGAGAGAGAGAGCACCGTGGGGAGGGTCAGAGGGAGATGGACAAGCAGACTCCATGCTGAGCACAGAGCCCAGTTCAGGGCTGGATCCCAGGACTCTGAGATCATGACGTGAGCCGAAATCAAGAGTCAGATGCTTAACCAACTTAGCCACCCAGGCGCCCCCTGGGGCTCTGGGCTTCTTGAGGTGGGATCAGAGGCCACATGGCCCTAGACAGACTCCCCAAGGGCTGTCACGGTTTGCCTGGCAGGCCCTCCCAGGGCCAAGCTGCAGGAGCAACCCTTGAAGGCAAGGAGTCCCAAGCACGTGGGCCCACATCCCCTCCACCACTGGGCCCCAGTCTCCGGAAGAACCAAATCCAGGTGTTGCATGTGCTCGGCTTGGCTTACAGGTTTGTTTGTTTTTCTGAGTTTATTGTCAACATTTACAAACTGAAAATATTCACATCAGCAATTCACTTAGAGGGTAACAGAATGTAATGTCACAGGGCCCACAGTCCTGTTAGGCAAATGCAAGGGAGCATGCGCTCAGCGGGCTCCGGAAGCCTGACCACACCCTCTTCTTCACTTCCTTTTATTCGATGGAACAGTTCTCATTAATGCCAGTGCTCCCAATAAAAGTTCCAAAGAAGAATTTGTAGGTCCATAAATTTCATTGAATACGCCAAATTAAGAGATTCTGGCGATCCTGTTGTGCTTTTATAAAGATATTTCAGTATTTACATGTTTTTAAAAACATTATTATTATTTCCCAACTTTTTATTTTGAAAAACTTCAAACCTACAGAGAAATGAAAAGACTAATAAAATTAGCGCCCATTTACTCTTTACATAGAGTCGCCAGTTAATATTTGTTTTTCCTTCTCTATAGACACAGAAATAGATACAGATACATGGGCAGATATGCATCTCTTATCTGTAACTGTAGAGAGACAGAGAAAGTTGTGTTCCATTTCATTTTGTTTACGGAACTATTCAAAGTCGTAGACATCACAAAGACCCTACAGCTTCTGCCGGCCCCTGCTGAGAACAAGGCTATTCTACACAACTTCATCATTACCAACTTTAAGAAACCTCACATTGTAGTATTACCTAATAATTGGCCCATATTCAGATCTCCCCTTGTTCACATGTCCCCACAATGTCCTTGATAGCTTTTTTTTTTTTTTTTGCCCCAATCCAAGAACCAAGCAAGGATCTGGCATTGCATTTTGTCATGTCTGAAGTCTCCTTTAATCTAGTACAATTCTCCCATTTTGTCTTTTGTGACTTTGACGTTTGAAGTGTTCCCCCCGGTCAGTTGTCTAGCAGGTAACTCCTGCTTTTCTTAGATTTGCCTCCTCCAGATCTGGGTTTGTAGCCCTTGAATTTGCCCCCTGCTGGGCCTAGATTTGAAATGTTAGTTTGCAGTGCCACCTAGTGGTCTCAGGTGAGCAGGATTCCTCCTCCCCACCCCCCGCCCCGCCCTGTTGCTGCTGACGGACCCCATACATGTCTGTACACACAGACGCTCGCATCCCAGACGCTCAGGAGAGCTCTGAGGCATTGAAAGAAGAAAGCTAGAGGGGCGCCTGCGTGGCTCAGTTGGTTAAGCATCTACCTTTGACTCAGGTCATGATCTCGGGGTCCTGGGAGCAAGCCCCGCATTGGGCTCCCTGCTCAGAGGGGAGTCGGCTTCTCCCTCTCCCTCTGACCCTCCCCCTGCTTATGCTCCTTCTCTCTCTCTCTCCCTCTCTCAAATAAACAGGATCTTTAAAAAGAAGAAAGAAAGAAAATGAGCTGATGGGGGCACCCTATCCAGGAGGCAGGGCCTGGGGCCTGGTGGGATCCCAGGCTTTGTAGCCACAGTGTGGGGGGCAGGGCCTGCCCATATGGGACTCTCTGAATCTGCTATACATCCCCATCTCTGGGCCTCAGTTCAAAGCTCAGCTCGGCTCTAGCACCACTCTCTGTGAGCTTGGGCAGGTTTCTCGGCTCCTCATCTGTAAATCGGAGACTGTAACAGCTCCACCTCACAGTGCTGTGAGGGCCAAATGAGCTAAGATTTGTAAAGTGCTTGATGCACAGGAGGTGTTACAGGAATGTGAGCCATTTCATGTCCACGTGGGATTGTCTGTGTGTGATGCTCTCTGCCGTACACATGAGGTCTGGGTGGAGTGCTTGGTGTGATTCATTCTCCAGGCCTGGTCTGACCCTGACCCCATCCCACTCCCAGGACTACATCCCTGCAGAGGGTGAGCTGCTCTTCCAACCTGGGGAGACCTGGAAGGAGCTGCAGGTGAAACTCCTGGAGCTGCAGGAGATGGACTCCCTCCTGCGGGGCCGCCAGACCCGCCGCTTCCACATTCAACTCACCAACCCCAAGTTCGGGGCCCGCCTGGGCCAGCCCCACTCAGCCACCGTCATCATTGGGGACCCAGGTGCGCAGAGCTGGGAGTGTGCTTAAGCAGGTGCAGAGGGAGGGCTGGGGGCCTCTCCACAGAGGCTGCCAGTCTTGGCAAGTAAAAATACAGGATGCCCAGTGTTAGATTTGGATTTCAGATAATCAAGGAACAAGTTTTGTGTAGGTATGCCCCATGCAACAGTTGGGATATACTTACCTTATTTGTTATTTACCTTAAACTCCAGCTTAACTAGGGGTCCTGCATTTTATGCGGCAATCCTGCTCTCAACCAGAGAGGGTGGAGTGGTGTCGTGGCTACCCAGCCTGCTGGCAGGCCATGAACCCCACCTCTAGGCCTTAGCCCTTCGACTTCGGCCTCAGTTCCAGCTGAAATGCAGGTGTTTCCCGGAGAGTGAAACAGTTCTTATGGGTCCGTAGGCTCCAGGATGGCGGTGTCTGTGAGCCCACCCCAGAGAAGGTTTTCCCAGAAGATAGGAGGGAAGATTCTCAGGGTAGAGGGGAGAAAAGGGGGTGTGTAGGAACAAATGTTCTCACATGGAGTATTCCCTTGGCTGCCCAGGGAGAAAGAAGGGCAGACGAACTCCCTCCTCCTCCTCACTCCTCCAGAGACCTTCCTGGGTCCTCCACGAGGAGGGCAGGATGCCCTCTGTGGCACCAGTGGGGGCACCAACCCCCCAGGGACCTAGGGTGGCAGCTGTCAGCCGAGCGCTTGTGGGGAAGGGTTGGGGGAGCCCCCTGGTGGTGAGGGTGGATTCTTGCCTCCGTCAAAGAGGGGGTGGCTGAGCGGGCTGCTCCACTTGGGCTTGGCTCACTACAGACGAACTGGACCGGAACTTCACAAGCCAGACACTGTCATCGTTCCCTCACCATGGTGACCTGGGTGCCCCCCAGAACCCCAATGCCAAGGCTGCTGGGTCCCGGAAGATCCTTTTCAACTGGCTGCCCCCGCCTGGCAAGCCAACAGGGTACAGGGTAAGGTGGGAGGCAATGAGGGAGGTGGATGGGGAGGCCTGGTACCCGCTGGGGACGTGGGCCACCTGAGGCCAGAGGGCCCCTGAGGGGGCGGAGAGGGCATGCTTCGGGGGCACAAGGGGGCAGAGGGAACCCCCCTGTGTTTGGGGAAGAGGGAAGATCCATCCCTGAAGTTTTCAGACATTTGCCCTCCTTCCTGGAATGTGGCTCCTCCGCCCACGCAGGAGACACCCCAGTTCTGCCCCAGCCCTGCTGTGTGAACCTGGCAGATCACCAACCCCTCGGCGTCTCGTCTGTGCAAAGGGGGCAATAAGAGCAGGAGGTCCGTGGAGGGACGAGCCGCTCTGGCCCTTGCCACTCCCCACTGACTCTTTCCTCCCCTGGGGCTAGGTCAAGTACTGGATCCAGGGTGACTCTGAGTCCGAAGCCCACCTGCTTGACAGCAAGGTGCCCTCGGTGGAGCTCACCAACCTGTACCCATATTGCGACTACGAGATGAAGGTGTGCGCCTACGGGGCAGAGGGCGAGGGCCCCTACAGCTCCCTGGTGTCCTGCTGCACCCAGCAGGAAGGTGAGGCCTCACCACCTGTCCCCGAGCTACCCTGATGCCCAGCTCTGCCCCCCACCACCTCCCAGAACCCAGCCCTCCCTCTGCTGCGGCTCACAGCTTTCTCCCTGTACTGCCCCCTGCCCCTCCCTCAGTACCCAGTGAGCCAGGGCGTCTGGCCTTCAATGTCGTCTCCTCCACGGTGACCCAGCTCAGCTGGGCTGAGCCGGCTGAGACCAACGGCGAGATCACGGCCTACGAGGTCTGCTACGGCTTGGTCAACGAGGACAACCGTAAGGACCTGGACCCCTCCTGCCCCCGGGGATGGCAGGAAGGGGAGGGGGCAAAGAGCAGGAGGGAGGTCACGTCATCCCGGTCGGTGGTCGAGTCCCGTAGGTCTGGCGGCCTAAGGCCTCGTCAGGTTTGTGGTCAGGTTTGGGCTGGTCACATCCCAAGAGCAAGCGCGGAAGCTCACAGGGCAGGTGGGGACGGGAGGCGTGAGATAGATGGGCACTGGGGTCACAAGCTCAGGGGTGCCTTCCCACATACAGGGAACCAGGGTGGCTCATTTTCACGGGGTTCTCTTGGGGCCAAAGGAGAGTTGCCAGATTTAGCAAATAGAGGATGCCCTGAGTTTCAGATAAACAGGTTGTTTTTTGAGTATGGCTCATGTAACATTTTATTTGGCAGCACGGTTCTTTCTTCCCAGCCCTGGGAGGGAGGGGAGGGTGGGCAACCCCACCAACTGCCAAGACGAGAAAAGTGAGGGAACTTGGTTCCACATCCAGTGGGTGCAGGGACCTCCTCCTTGTGCCCTCACTTCTTGGTCAGTCCCAGGGACGGGGAGCTCACCACTTCACACGACCTCTGGACCTTAACATGGGTCAGCCTCAGCACTCCCGGAGTGGCCCAACAGGGCAGAGGACAGAGAGATTATTCTAGACATCAGGCTTGTTGCTCTTTACCAGCCAAGCAGACCACACACGACCTCAACAGCTGCATCACACCTTTGGTGCATTCTGGGTTTATGACACCTAGTACCCCATGACCACTGTCACAGAGGAAGTCTCCTCTGACCCCACCATGTATCCTGTGGAAAGTTCATTCCCGATGATTTCAGCCATGGCTCCAGCCTGCTGAGGTCTCAGTTGTGTCCTGGAATGTGTCAGATGGCCCCCCCCGGCCGAGGGTATCAGCACTTTGGTGGGTGCCCCCTCCCGCTCTCCCACTAGCTGACAGGGATAGGAAGGGTGTGCCAAGAGACAGTGCCCACCTTGGCAGCTAGAGACCTCCCCCAGGCTGAGGGGCCTCCACCAACCAATTCTTTTTAAGCACAGTTGTTTGCTGGGGGCAGACACCAAGCTTACCAGGTATTTTCCAGAAGCCTCCTTTGGACCTCTTTGGAGACTGGGACTTTTTCCAGCCTCCAGTCTTTTGTGCCTTCTCTGGCTTCCCAGAAGGCTTCTAACATGGCAGGCCCTTTCTTGCTGTCCCTGGGCCTAGGCCCTGTAACTTGCCCGGAGCTACGGGGGTCACTTTCTCCTTCCTCCCAGGGCTGCGTGTCTGTGAGTGCAGGAGAGCTACTTGGCCTCCGCTCTCGGCTAAGCTGACCCTGTTGGCCGTCTCGCACACCCTTCCCTCCACCCCGACACCCTGAGCTCTCACAAGCCTCAGCCTGCCCTGAGGTGCAGCTCCCCTGAGCCCACCCTCTGCTCCTGTCCTTGCTCATGTGACCCCGTGGCAGCGGTGGTGGGCACTGGGCTATCTCTGCTCTCAGCGCTCAGGTGGCGGCGCCCTGGACATGGGACCATTACCAATCAGTAGAGGTGACAGTGGGGCCACCGTGAGTCTAGTCCTGGCTCGGCCACTTCAGGATGAGCCCTTCAGAGAGTTGGTGACACTTCTTGAAACCAGCCCTGCCCAGGTTCTCAGGGCCTGGCCCGACCCAGAAGTCCCATAGCTGCTTGCTCCCTGCCTTGTTCCCTGTGCTCTCCCTGGGAAGGAAAGAGCCCGAGAAGCGGGGCCGCTACATCAGAGCCGGGGCTGGGCCAGGCAGGAACCTACAATGACCCATCTGAGGCGCTCTCCCTGCCCAGGACCCATCGGGCCCATGAAGAAGGTATTGGTGGACAGTCCCAAGAGGCGGATGCTGCTTATTGAGAACCTTCGGGAGTCCCAGCCATACCGCTACACGGTGAAGGCGCGCAATGGGGCAGGCTGGGGCCCGGAGCGGGAGGCCATCATCAACCTGGCCACCCAACCCACGCGGCCCATGTCCAGTGAGTGGGGGGGAGTGCGGGGGCGGGGGACGGGAGGTAGGGTAGGACGGGAGGCTGAGGCTAGGGCCCTGGCTGACCCCTCCCGCTCCCGCAGTCCCTATCATCCCGGACATCCCCATTGTGGACGCCCGGTGTGGGGAAGACTATGAGAGCTTCCTCATGTACAGCGATGACGTTCTGCGCTCCCCTCCTGGCAGCCAGAGGCCTAGCGTCTCCGATGACACTGGTGAGTGGGTCTGGGATCCATGTCCCCGGGAGGCGGTGGGGCTGTCACAGGTGTCCAGAGGAAGCAACGGGGCCAGTGACCACCGGGCACAGAGATCAAGACTGTAAGTCCCTCTCAGCTCCACATGGATATCTGCAGAGCCTACCATTTGGCAGGCACCATACTGGCGTGGGGTACAGAGGGGACAAAGCCAACGTGGCCCATGGGCGGTCGTGTGCACAGGCAAACAGACTTGCTTGGGAGCAGATGCACACAGGGCCGTGCAGGGCCACGCACACGGGACCATGTGGAAACACAGCCTTACACCCGGAAGGCTGTGCCATGGACGCAGGACATTCAGGCCACCTCCCCAGGGACAAGGCTGTGTGGGAGAGGGCAGGCATGACCCCCTGCCCGGCCCTGGTACTCAGTTTTAGCTTTGGCTCCACTGTGCCTCAGTGTTCTGACCTGTAAAATGGAATGTCAGTCATACCATGCCATGAGTCAAAATTCTCCAGGATTCCTACTCTCTTCCATCCTTGCCCTGACAAGAGCAGGGCTGAGCTTGGGCTTAAGGAACCCAAACCCAAGGGTCGTGGGGGGGTTTGAAAGAGCAGCAGGTATGAATCAGGTGCCCAAAGTCAGCTGCTTACACTACCTGGGACGCACTCTGTGGGGGAGAGATTACTCTCTCCGGTACACAGGAAACTGAGGCTCGGGCCAGGAGACCTCAGCTGGTGACAGAGCCAGCGCCACCCGGGGCGGGGGGCCGGGGGGGGGGCGGCTTTTCCTCACCGGCTGCAGCCCCGGCTGCACTGGCTCGCACGGAAGGGCTCCTCTTCCGCTTCGCGGGCCAAGGGTCCCGCCCGTCGCCCGCTCCGCGACCACACTTGGATTCCGGAGAGCCCGAGGACCGGCTCACGTCGCTGGCCTCCGCCCCGCCGCGCCCCCTCCCGCAGCCGCCCGCGCCCGCCGGCGGTGCCAACGCGGCCCTTCGTTGTTCCTAAGGCGGCGGCTGGAAGTTCGAGCCCCTGCTGGGGGAGGAGCTGGACCTGCGGCGCGTCACGTGGCGGCTGCCCCCGGAGCTCATCCCGCGCCTGTCGGCCAGCAGCGGGCGCTCCTCCGACGGCGAGCCGCCCTGCGGGCCCCCGGACGACCGCGCGGACGCGGAGGCGGACGCGGACACGGGCAGGGGCGGGGAGGGTGGCGGCCTAGCGCGCGGCTCCACACCCAGGCCCCCCAGAGGTGACGGGCTTGCCCCGCGCGCCCCGACCCCGCAACCACCTAGGCGCGCTCGTTTGCGGCCTGGGCCCGGCCCGACCCCCTGTGGCCAGGCTGCCCGTGAAGGCGCCCTGCCCTGCCGGGGGTTGGTGCCACTGCGCAGAGGCGGACCCCCAGAGCCAAGGAACCCCCAGGGCAGGCATTCGGGCTGTCCTCAAAGCAGGACTGCCCGCAGGAGCGTACAACTTCAGAAGTGTGTTGTGTCCGGGAGGGCAGGCCCTAGTACCCAAGGAGACCCCTCAGAGGCCTGAAGGGACACAGGGCAAGAATTTGGGCTCCCCGAAGGCAGGGCTAACTGCAAGGGCAGGAGTCTCCCACCTGCGGTCAGCAGTGCTCAGACCATCCACACTGGCATCCTGAGGGCCAGTGGACATGGGCTGCAGAAGCCTGTGTGACCCCTTGGACTCTGCCAGGAACACTGAGCTTCTGTCCCTGGTGGGCCAAGGGAGGCTGGCTTTATGCCCAGCACACCGCCCCCCCTGCCCCCTCAGAAGATAGGTAATCCTAGCAATTCCCAGGGCCACAGGCTGCCCCATGGGGCTCTGGGTCCAGTAGAGGTCTGTCCCAGTGACCCTGTTCTCCTCCTGCAGAGCACCTGGTGAACGGGAGGATGGACTTTGCCTTCCCGGGCAGTGCCAACTCCTTGCACAGGATGACTGTGGCCAATACCGCCTACGGCACCCACCTGAGCCCACACCTGTCCCACCGGGTGCTGAGTACCTCCTCCACCCTGACGCGGGACTACCACTCGCTGACCCGCACAGAACACTCACACTCTGCCACGCTGCCCAGAGACTACCCCACCCTCACCTCTGTCTCCTCCCACAGTGAGTGTCCACAGCCAACCCTTCTTCTCTTCCAGCCCCAGGAGGCTCAGGGTACTGGCCCGGCGCTGCCCTGCTGCCCATCCTCCAACACACACACCTCCTGCGCGCTCACTCTTGTTTTGTCCTGCCGTAGGCCTCCCTCCCATCTGGGAAGAGGGGAGGAGCAGGCTTCCACTGTCCTGGACCCTGGGGCCCCTGAGTCGGGCTCAGATGAAGGGGTTCCCTCCCTCTGGGGACACCCGAGACACTATAATCCTGGCTGGGCAGCCAGCAGCGCCCTTTCGGGGCCCAGGTAGTACAGGGGTGGCCATCCTGTGTCTGCACAGCTGTCCTGCTCCATCTGTCACCCATCTGCTCATTGCAGCCACTGCCCAAACCCAGCACCTTACCCTCCATTCCATCCCCATCGGTGCTGATGCCTAACATCGCCTCTGTCCTTTCCAGGGGTGCTGGGCTGGGGGAGGAGAGGCGCCAGGCCAGCGGGGGAGGGGGAGGGGGGCCTGCAAGCCCACACCCACTCTGAGATGTGCAGGAGGTGCTGGGTGGCCCGGACAGGGTGTTGCAAGGTGAGCGAGCTGCCGGGCCAGCAGTCAGTGGAGATGAGACAGCGGAGGGAGGTCAGGGGATAGAGGCGGGACTCCTGCCCAGAGACCCCGGACACAAACTGACTGCGGCTTCCCCGTCTTCAGACGCCCGCTTGGCTGCCGGTGTGCCCAACACACCCACCCGCCTGGTCTTCTCAGCACTGGGACCCACGTCTCTGAAAGTGAGCTGGCAGGAGCCGCGGTGTGAGCAGGTGCTGCAGGGCTACAGCGTGGAGTACCAGCTGCTGAACGGCGGTGAGCCACAGCTGCTGCTGGCGGGCTGTGGGGCTGATGCCTTGCCAGGCTCGGCCCTGTGATGGGCCCCACAGGAGCACCCAGCTGGATAGGAATCCACCCAAGTCCCTTGAACACTAATGGTCCCCACCAGACTTTCTGACTCTCACTTCCATGCTCCTCACTGCCCTTCACTGCCCCCTCTCTCCTGAGCCCTCATCCGTCTCCCTGGGCCTCTCTCCAGGTCATTGCCTCTGCTAGGTTTTGCCTAACAAGCCTTCACTGGCTCAGGGACCTAGGGCCTCTGCTGGCCTGGGAGATGGCTTTGTGGGAGCTGGGAAGTGGTGCTTCCCTGGGAGGACAAACTCAGAGCAGCATGACTTGGGCCCATGAACAGCCAGAACATAGGTGGGATTTTAGGCTGCACTCATCCCTTGTATAGTATGGTGTACAGCCTAAACAACCAACCATGCCATACCAGGCTGATCCCACCTGCCCCCAAACCACAGCTAATCCTGGGCGAGTGACGACCAGGTCCTGGTGGCAGCCTAGGGAAGGCATGGGATCAGGCCAGGGGTGGGAATAACACCTCTCCCCTGTCTCCCACCCACCCCCACCCTCAGGGGAGCTGTATCGGCTCAACATCCCCAACCCCAGCCAGACTTCAGTGGTGGTGGAAGACCTTCTGCCCAACCATTCCTATGTGTTCCGTGTGCGGGCCCAGAGCCAAGAAGGCTGGGGCCCAGAGCGCGAGGGCATCATCACCATTGAGTCGCAGGTGCACCCCCAGAGTCCACTCTGCCCCCTGCCAGGTGAGCTGCCTCCCCACCCCACGGCTGCCCCCATGATGTCCCCTAGTGACCCACACACTGACACCCTTGCTCTGCTGCTTCCAGGCTCCACCTTCACTTTGAGCACACCCAGCGCCCCGGGCCCGCTGGTGTTTACCGCCCTGAGCCCAGACTCGCTGCAGTTGAGCTGGGAGCGGCCACGCAGGCCCGAGGGGAATATCCTTGGCTACCTGGTGACCTGTGAGCTGGCCCATGGAGGAGGTGCTGCCTGCCCCCAGGTCAGGGGTGGCCAGGGAAGGGGTGGAGAGGGAGCCGCAGAGGCTAAAGGCATCTTCCCTGTCCAGAGCCAGCCACCACGTTCCTGGTGGATGGTGACAGTCCTGAGAGCCGGCTGACCGTGCCAGGCCTCAGTGAGAACGTGCCCTACAAGTTCAAGGTGCAGGCCAAGACCACTGAAGGTTATGGGCCAGAGCGTGAGGGCATCATCACCATCGAGTCCCAGGATGGAGGTAGGGAACCTCACCCCTTCGTAACCCTTACCCTTTCTCTGGCCACCTCTTCTCTCAGCATTATCTCTGACTGGCCCATCTGCCCATGCCAGGCCCTTTCCCACAACTCGGCAGCCATCCTGGGCTCCTGCAGCACTCACTGCCAGGTGAATACAGCAGCATCACTGCCACCCACACCAGCACCACCGAGCCCTTCCTCCTGGGTGAGTTGCTGGGCAGGGCCTCTGGCTCTCCTGAGGGGAACACAGAGCTCTCAGAGCAGGAGAGCCAGGGCCCCGGGCAGAGTCCTTCAGTGCTTCTTCCCCTGCAGATGGACTGACCCTGGGGTCCCAACACCTGGAAGCAAGTGGCTCCCTCACCCACCACGTGACCCAGGAGTTTGTGAGCCGGACGCTGACCACCAGTGGAACCCTCAGTACCCAGGTGGACCAACAGTTCTTCCAGACCTGAGCCCCCCACCCTTACCCAACAGTGTGCTGGAACCTGGGCCCCCACCCTGCCTCCTCTCCCTGGCTGTGGCTCAGCTACTCCATCCTTGGACCCCTCGCAGACCGGCACACCCGCATGCTGATCACAGGGCCAGTACCTCTGGCTACAGAGCAGAGGGAAGGTGTCCTCTGGGAGGAATGAAGGGAGCAGAGGTCCCAGAAGACCCTTCTGGCTGCAAGTCCCCTACCCCAGGGCCCAAGCCTATTTGTGTGTAACCAAAGAGCTGGGAGCAGCATGACAAAGGCCCAGCTTTGTTCTGCACTTAATAAAAGATCTTGCTACCGCTTGGCTCTGCCCTGTCCGTTCTTCCAGGGAGTGCCTGCACAGAACAGGGGAGCAGTTCTGACACAGCTCCTCGGATACCCAAGCACACACCCACCTCTAGAGGCAGGCAGGTGGGTCATCATGGTGGGAGGCACAAGTTTATTGAGCACCCAGATGCAGAGGGCAGGCGCCAGAGGCCTGGAGCTTCGTGACTTGCTGCCTGGCAGGCCCCATGCCCACCGGGTGCCATCCCCGGGGAGTGCCTCACCAGTGCAGCACCTTGGCGCCATCGGCCGCCTGAGAGAGGTAGAAGGTGGCGGTACCACTGTACTGCTCCTATGGGAGAGGCAGGTGGGGTCTAAGCACGGCAGGGCCTCGGGGACCCACTTCTCCATCCCTCCTACCCCCGGGGCACTGGTGCCTACCCACCTGTATGTGCTGCATGGCTTGGGAGGTGGAGGAGGCCTCCAGCAGGGTCACAGTGCAGCCGCCAAAGCCACCCCCGGTCATGCGGCTGCCATAAACCCCAGGTGCAGACAGTGCAGCCTCCACGAGCTGGTCCAGCTCCGGACAGCTCACCTCGTAGTCATCCCTGCAGAGAGGACAGAAGAGAGGGTGGGCCTAGCATGGACCCCACCCTGCCCCCGGGCTCAGCCTCTGCCCGGGAGATACGGGCCCCAGCGGTCCTCACCTGAGCGAGTGGTGACTCTCTACCATGAGGCGGCCGAAGGCTCGGTAGTCTCCCCGGCTCAGGGCCGCTGCTGCCTGGGCCGTGCGCCGGATCTCACCCACCACATGCCGTGCGCGTCGGAAGCCCTCCTTGCTCACCAGGTCTCTGCCAGCTGGGGAGGGAAAGGGGTCAGCGGGCCCGCCACTCACCACCTCTGGGCCCCTGCCGATGTGGGGATGGGGGCTCCAAGGCGGTGGCCTGGGGGTGGGAGGCTGGGGGGCGGTTCTGACAAAGCTGTACGTAGAACCTTGTGTTGGTGACTAAGGTTCGGAGCCTCCGCCCCAACTATGAAATGGGATGCTTGTGTCACTTGGGGCGCAGTAAGCACTGAGAGAGAGAATGCATGGAGAGCTCCCATCCCAGCAGGGTGCCTGGCACACAGTGGGTGCTCACTTAACAGCAGGGTAAGCCCCAGACCCTTGTTGCTTCCAAGGTGAGGGGGAACACAGGGCTGCCTTCAAGAGCCCACAGGAGCACAAGAGGGAGAAATCCTCCTGCTGCTGTTTATGCTGGAGCATCAACTGGGGAGGCTGGGGCTCCGGAGTTGGGGTACAGCCCAGGCAAAGATCAAGAAGCAGGGCACGCCAAGATCCAGGCCGTCCCGCTGGCTAACGCTGAGGTGGGGAGAGCAAGCTGAGTAGGTCGTGGCCGCCCTGATTGCCAGGGGGTTTTGCTACTTAATTCTGGATGCCACAGAGGTTTGGGAGCAGGGAAGGGCTGACAAAAGCGACTGCCATGGGCAGGGGGTCCGAGCTGGGAGAAGAAGGCACCAGGAGCCAGACAGCAGCTGCTAAACACTCAGAAAGCAACGAGGGGCCTGATGTGGGGGGAGGAAGGGGAGATAAGAGTGGGAGGGGGACAGTGGGGACACGGAGGTGACCGAGGTCTCACACAGGAGCGACAAGGGTAAGAAATAACAGGCAACGGGAAGTCAGCAGGGGAAGCCTACAAGGGAGGACGAGGAGTTCCGCTGGGAATCAGGTGGGGGCTCCGGGGCAGCAGGTGGAAATGTGGGGAGGCTCCAGCCAGGTGAGCAAGGGGCTGCAGGCTCCAATCCGAGTCCTAAGTGGAACAGTGGTGGCTGGTGCTGTGGCTTGAGGACAAAGCCTGGGGCGGGCACGTGCAGAGAAACAGGGCTGTGAGCAAGCAGGTCCAGTGCCTGCCGAGGTGGGGAGGGGGGGCGCCTGGGAGAGTTGGCTGTTTTGGGGGGGGTGACAGAGGATTGAGAAGTGAACATGGATGACAAAATGGGGGCCATAAGCATTAGATCTTCCCCCAACACTGGCACAGGAAAGAGATTCAATTTCAGAAGGGAAGAGAACTGGCCAAGTTTCCAAGCAGAAGGGGAGGAGCCAGGCAGAGGACAGGAAGGAGGCAGAGTAGGGCCTCAGGCACAGGACTCTGAAGGCAGAGGGCAGCACTGGGGTCCCCAGGGAGGGGAGACCCCCGAGGAGTGGTGGGGAAGGGGTGCAGTGGAGAGGAGGGATGGCCAAAGTGTTCCAGTGTGAAAACCTCCGCCAAGGTCACCTGCACGGAGCAGGCGGGGCAGGTCTGAACGGGATGGTCCACCAAGGAGAAGCACAAGGCGGTCCCCCAGGGCTGGCCATCGCCCCTGCACCGGGCACTAGCACACTGCCAGGGAGGGCCCAACTCCCAGGGCCAGCAGCCTGGCCGGGGACGGGCTAGGGGGCTAAGCTGCTTGGTCCGAGGCTCAGCACTGCCCCGGACTATGGGTCCCTCATCCAAAACACGGGGAGTAATAATGGTATCTGCTTCACAGGGTGTGGCAGAACCAGGGGATATTCATCTGACCTTCAAACTATCAAATGTACTATCTTCCTGGCCATGTGTGTCAGGAACCTCTTAGATACATGCACTTTTGACTCTGCAATCCTACTGCTCAGAATGTAATCCTAAGAAAATAACAAGAGAATGCAGATAAACTCGGGTCTGAAAACAATCATCACAGTGTCACGTGTGATTGGTAAATAGTTAAGTTAGGTACACCTGCGTGCCGGAGTATTCCGTAGCTTTTACAGGCCCCGTTGATGACATGCTGGCACAGTAAAGGCTTCTCAGATAACGTCAGAAAAAGAGAAACAGGGGCGCCTGGGTGGCTCAGTCGGTTAAGCATCTGCCTTCGGCTCAGATCGTGATCCCAGGGTCCTGGGATCGAGCCCCGCATCGGGCTCCCCGCTCGGCGGAGAGCTTGCTTCTCTCTCTTCTTCTGCACCTCCCCCTGCTCATGCTCTCTCTCTCTCTGTATCTCTCTCTCTCTCTCTGTATCTCTCTGTCTCAAATAAATTAAAAAGAAAATCTTTAAAGAAAAAAACAATATTAAGGGGCACCTGGGTGGCTCAGTTGGTTAAGCATCTGACTCTTGATCTCAGCTCAGGTCTTGATCTCAGAGTTATGAGTTCAAGCCCCACGCTGGGCCCCACACTAAGTGTGGAGACTACTTAAAAAAAAAAAAAAAAGAAAGGAAAAGAAAAAAAGGAAAAACAATATAAGATCTCGAGTAGCCCTGCTGAGGTAGGAGCCCTAGGTGTGCAGTGTTAGGAGCAGTGGGCAGAGCACAGGCGAGGCCCCTGGGGATGAGGGGGTGTACGGCAGGGTCAAGACCACACGGAGGGCCTGGCAGCCCCGCAGGGTACCCAGCCAGCTCTCACCCTCCAACTCCTCCAGCTGCACTTCCCGAAGGCTCTCCTTGCCCAGCGCCCGGGCCACTGCTTCACATTCGCGCCGCCGCAGAGGGTACTCGCTGGAGCCCAGCGAGTGGCGGACATTGGAGTTGGTGATGAGCACGGCCAGCTTAGGTTCTGACAGCGGCACCAGGCTTGTCTCCAGGGACCTGGCATGGAGTTGGAGTGAGGAGATGACAAGCCCAACTGTCCGTGTGCCACAGCAGCCAGTGGGCATGCTCCACCCAGAAGCTCCTGATGATGAGGGGAGCCCCTGACCTGCAGTCAATGAGCAGCGCGTGGCCTTTCTGCCCCAGCAGTACGATGAGCTGGTCCATGATGCCACAGGGCACCCCTGCGAAGCTGTGCTCGGCCCGCTGACACACTTGAGCCCGGGCAGCTATGGACCCCGAGTCTGTGGCAGGGGAGACTCGGTGGGGGGAGGTGGGGAGGCTGGGGCCCAGGAGGGGGGGTTCATGGGGTGGGGGCGGGTGGGAGCCGTGGTAGTTCCAGTGACACTCCAGGGAGATTCCCCACCCTCCTCCCAAAGCCACAATAGAGGAAGGAAAGAGCTCTGACAACAAGGACACCTCAGGGAAGGAGGGCTGGATCAGGGGCCGAGGCCTAAGAAGTACCTGGGCAGAGCTGCTGCAGGAAGGTGTACGTGGCCACTTCCAGGGACGCGGAGCTGGACAGCCCACCCCCCAGGGGCACTGAGCTGACCACCACTGCACTGAAGCCAGGGAGGGGTGCAGCTGGAAAGAATGGGTGGTGGTGAGATGGGCCGTATGGGAGGATGGGCCCGAGGAGGGCATGTATTTTGGTATGAAGGGAGGCAACTGCCTGATAGCTGCTTCCAGGGATGAGTCTCAACTGTCAGAGGCCACGTGGGCCCCAGCACCCTCCATCCTTCTACCCTGAGGTTCCTGGGACACAGTCTTCCTAGTTCTCCTGGTTTAGGGCTCTGGAGGCCAACGAAGGGGCTAGGGGCTTGAATCCTGGCTCCTCCCATCATATAATGGGCAGCTCAGGGAAAGTTCTGGAACCTCTGAGGGCCTCAGTCTCATCATCTGTACAATGGGGATACTCTCCCCCTGCAAGCTAGCCCGTGGTGGCTTATATGAGCTAATGAGCTTTGTAGCTGAGAGGTGGTGCTCCTAGCACTAGTGTCAACTTGACCCTGGCCTCGGTCCCATACCTGGGTAGTGCTGAATCACTCCCTTGACATAGTTGGCCCAGCGGGGGGTCCCGGGCTCCAGTGACCGCTGGGCTGTGGGCAGCGGAAACTGTAGCCGCCGGGGTTCATCAGCATCCTCAGAGGTGGTGAGGAGGGAGACAAGGCCATCTGCCCGGGGGCTGCCCACCAGCACGGTCACAAGCTCCAGCGCCTGGCAGGAGAGACAGGGAGTATATACAGCTTCTGCCTGCTGACCAGTGGATGAGGCCCCTCCCGTACTAAAGTTCTGAAGAATGAAAGGTTTCAGATTCCCTTTGAGACTCAAAACGAAAGGAATGGGGGATGTCTTGGGGTAGAATCTAAGTGCTGAGTTTGCCCTGGGGGCTTGGGTCCTGCCCCTGGGTTTTCAGGGGCACGGCCAGTGCGGCAGAAGTG